TGAAATCAAAGATTTTATGCAGACTTTTAAAAATGCAAATAAATACTTTGCTGTCTCATCTTTTTATAAATGTTTTATTTGTCTCAAAAATGAATTTCCTTTCTTCTGTTCCACTACTTCTACAAAGTATTCCATGGTTATAAATACCTTACAGGTGACAAAAGTACTGCTGTCTGTCCTGTTAGAACTAGATATCTTCTCCCAAGATACATTGTATCAGTTGCAGACCCTGTTTTTCGCTTAGCACCACTCTCTAGTAAAGTAGACATGGAAAAGTATTAACACCAAACATCTCAAATATCTCAAATATCTTGAGATATTTTATTGAGCTATGGTCAGGAAAAATGGCAAGTAAAACCACTTAAAAATAATTCAGATGTGTTCTTGAATAAGCAGGCAAAACTCAATCAAAAACATCTACTTGTTTCAAGAGCTTTGGGAAAGATTTTTAAGGCTCTGGTCTTCTGAGGCCTTCTGAGGTTCAGCTCAAGAACTGACCCTAATGGTTTTAAGTCTCCCAAGAATTCATGGAGTTTATTGTGTAAGACCAATTCCTGATAACACAGATCTGTTTTATATTAAACAAAGCCACCTGCTCCTTTAAAATAGTTCAGTCTGTGCTTGGGACCTTCACTGCCTTATGGAGAGACTGATAGGTATAAATGTGTAGGTTTATACTGTAGGTATAAACCCTGCATAGCATCTAATGTTTGGTTGGTTGGTTTTTTTCACCAGCTCTGGCCACTTGATGTATTAACAGTTCTTTTTCTGTGGCATGCTTTGCTTTCTTATTTAGCGTGTATTAAAGAAACAGAGAATCATGCTTTTTTAGTCTCCCCTTATTTACCAAAAGGCAGCTGTTGCACTCAGCTGTTCCTGGACTTTTTTCATTAGAGTAGTTTCTCACTCTTTCTCAAATATACTGAGAGGCTAAAGGCGTTGACATCTTGCTATATGTTTGCATGTATACTTTCAGGGTGATTTCTGGCTTCATGTAACTGTTGCTGTGAAGGGAAAGAGTTATTCTTTCTTCTTCAGGTGCAGCAAATCTGTGCCTGTTTAAAAATCACTGCCTTCTCTTGTGATTTGGTGCATGGCATAGTAGCAGTTTGTCTTGTAGCAGACTAATGTGAATTAGGAAGTTCTAGATATTGGTTTCTGTTTTGCTTGATTACCCAAGAATCAAGTCACAAGAATACTCAGCATTTCATTTCCGTGCTTTGTCTCTGCAAAATAAACATTCTCATTGTAACAGAAATAACATGGTATACTTAAAAAAAAATAAAATATCACAGGAGTCCAGTGTTAGTTTTAAGGGTTATAGACACATCTTCTTCTGTATCTAATTCAGACACTCTAAAATGCAAAAACATCTCCTAATGTATTTCAGTTGTGTTTTCTGTTCACCAGTCCTCTTGGGCCCAGACTGAGTGATGAGAAGGTAATGTTCTGTGTTGAGTAAAGTTTCATTGTTGCTTACACTGTTGTTCTGTACTTAGTTTTGTGGGCTTAGAGAAATAATTTTACGTCATCAGCAGTTGTCTTTCTGATTACAGAAATAATCTTTATCCACTAATTACATATTTATACTGAGAAACAAGTCGGAAAACAGTTAAGAATAGAAGTAGGCGAGTAAAGAGAATTTGTGTGGCAGGAAGAAATTGTACACATGTGCAGCAGTCCTCCCCCACTGTCTTAGCAAGTTCAGATTGGTAGACACCAACCTCCTGTATGTCTGTACAGGAGATGCTGGTATCTAAGTCACCAGGCTGAGATGGGATGAGGCCTCCTGAGGTCACCTCATTCAGCCCTCTGCTCAAAGCAGAGTCAGCTAGAGCACATTGCTCAGGGTCATTTCCAGTCAGAGTTTGCATACCTACAAGGATGGAGACTGCAATATGTGGGTAACCTGTGCCAGCATGTGGCCAACCTTACTATAAAAAAAGACTTTCTTATGGTCAGGAAGAACCCCACAACCATTAAGTTAATTCAGGAGCAATTTGATCCTTGCTCCTCCTTGATACAAATTAAAGAGCCATAAAACCTGATTCAGTTTACATCTTAATTAATTCCTGGAGGTTTGCAGAGATGTGATTACTGTTTGCCCAGTGGCATGCTGCGTAACCTGGAAAAATTCCAGCTGCAGTTAATAAACATTTGCCAGGATAGAGCCTACATTGTTTATATTAATAATTTGACAGAATTATAAAATATTTATGTATTTATTTGCATTTCACAGGTGTCCTCTTGATGTCTCACCCTCTTTATTTAAACTAGTGTTTACTTGATCTTCATGTACTCAGCATCCAGGTTTGCTGAGAGCGCCAGATTCAGAGGATGCAGAGGAGCATGTGCATTCTTAGTTTCTAGATACTTGCATAGAAGACCTGGAAAGGTACAGGTAAATTAAAAGAGCACATATCCTGATCTGGCCAAGAACAGTTGCAAGTTAAATACTTATCTCATTCATCATAGCTTTTTTATGCTAATGAAGAGAGACTAAAGTTTAACATACTTAAGGGTCACAGGAAAGTGAGGTATCGATTTGCTGCTTCTTCTGTAGCAGTAGTACTGCATCAATTGCCTAATCAGGAGTAAAAAAATTGTATTAACAGGCTGTGGGGTTTGGTTGTTCTAGGGGGGTTTTGTTGGTTTTTGTTTTAAGTTAACAAGCAGGAACAGAGGAGGCAGTGTTTTTCAGTACGTGTAGCACAGAAGCCAGCTGTTACTTACAAATGACATAATTAAAGCCTTAGCATATGTGAAAATAAATAATTAAATAGTCCCTTTGGTTTTCATTAACAGGCCTCCTAGGTCTTCTCAGACCTGAAGCATATTAACTACTGCAGTCATTTTCTGTGATGTAGTGTCTTTCTCTTACTCTCTGTCTATGAAGTCTAGCTACTGCTGAATAGCAATTTTGTCCATGTCCAAGGTGTTTGATAACAAAAGACATTCAAGAAATCAAATTCAATAACTGCATATCTGTGATGGATCCCTAATGCCTTGTCTGGGCTTTTAGCTCAGCTATAAGCCTTGTAGCACCTGTGCTGCTGGAAACTATAGTTGTCAGCATGGGTTGTGCTGGCTAAGACAGTGGCACCCTTTGCCTGGGTGAGAGGTGGTGTTCCTGGCTTTAGGAAAGTGTTTTCCAAGAAATACCTCACTCCTTTGCTGTCACTTCTGCAGCCTTGGCAAAAGCAGAGGTGGGATTGCAGGTCTCTCTGCAGGTCACTTGAATATTGCCCGTGGCTGGTGAGACAAGGCACCCCCCGGAAGAGTAAATTGTGTTTATTAGAAAATGTTAAAGCAGTTGCAGCTTGAAATATGGGTAGAATAAAGTTTTATGTTTCACTGTCATCCCTGATATATTATGCAACTAAAAATTGGGTCTTTGAAGGAGTACAAGGTAGGTAAAACTGAGATGAACCTTGAGCTCACAGTGGCTTTCTAAAAGGTTCATGACATAGCTGAGACTTCTGAAGTCATGACCCTGTTTTCTTACCTCTGTCTTTGCTGAGTGATAAGCTCATGACTCATTCATTGCGCTCAGGGGTGAAGTAATGTTTCCTGTGTTGTCTGTCTGTCTTATTTTGTAATCTGTTACTTATTCTCTTGAATCCACTAGCTCTATGTGTGTGTATGCTTATCTATTTATCCATATCTATACATCTGTGCTTCCTTGTCTCTAAAAAAGGCCTACTGAGGTCTTTCTGAGCAGGCAGAATATAACCATTCAGTTTTCAGTGTTCAGCCTCTTTTTTTTTCCCCTTGGAGTCCTTTGCTGTTTCCACCATTGGTGTATGTACATTACTGCATTATGCTTAAGCCATGGATAACCATAGAAAAGTCTGGAAAAGACAGAGGTCATGTCTCTGAAGCATTATTATTTTTCTTTTTAATGTTCGAGGATACTTTTTCTCATAGAGGATGTGGTTCTTTGGGTTTCTGTTTTAGTCTGCTGCTCCCAGACTTCTTTCTGTACTATCTGCAACCAGCTACTTGTAAGCAAGCAAGCTCCAGCTGATGCTTGACAGAGGATTTTTGCTTTGTCAGGAAACAGGCACACTTAACGTGGATTATTTTTTTTTCTCAGGGTAATTTGGGGAAATTAAAAATTTGGCAGAATTATCTGTTGTAAACATAGATGGTAGCCCTGTATTTGTCATTACAGAAGCAGCACAGACTGCAGAAGAACCGTAATGTCCTTAAGCCAGTCAAAGCAGTAGGATGTAACCAAGCATCAGCCCCACAGCAGTTCAGCAGATAGCATATGCATGTTCCCATCTTACAACCACATCAGAAACTGTGACTGTTTAATGTTACTTAACATACTTGTAATTATGCCATTGGATATATTTTAACATCTGTGGCTGCAGCAGATTTGAGAGTATCATCTAGGATGGTAGAATAAAAATGAACACCTAAAATAAGGAATGTTTCTTTGAAAAACACACCTATTTACAGTAAAAAAAAAAAAAAAAAATCCCAAACACCAAACTGCAATAACAAGATAATATGCTATTATGATGGTGAAAGCAAATTTACAAGAGACTCGGTAACATGAATGCTTGAATAAGAGAAAGGAGTGAAAAATAACAGATTGCATAACTTTCCCAAGTAATTAGTCAGTAGCTTCTGTCATGCTTTCTGAAGTATTATTCGTTTTGAGTTTGAATGTGTCACATTATACTGGTTCCTTCAGGTGCAAAAGTTTTACTGAAAACATAGTGTATTGCAGATGAAGCTCTTTTGACAAAGTGTTGGTGATGGTGAATTGCTGGCAGGGAGACAAATGAGCAATTCATTTAGTCAGTGTTTTAACTTCTATAATGTGCATGTTGGACAAATACAAATCACTTCAACTGGTCTTTCAGAAAACAAACCCAAATTAGCCATCCCAGAAAAATAACAGCAGGAAGCACCTCTTACTTTTGCGACTTGTTTGTCATACACAGCGTTGGCATCTGGTTGTTTATTTTTTTTTTCCCCTCTTCTAGGTGCCTGAGATCATAAGTTCTATTCGACAAGCTGGAAAAATTGCTCGTCAGGAAGAGTTTCAGAGTAATCTCTCAGATGTTGAAGACCCTTTTGCCAAAAAGTTTGAGGTGCTGTTCTGTGGACGGGTGACAGTAGCACATAAAAATGCACCTCCAGCACTCATAGATGAATGCATTGAGAAATTTAATCGTGCAAGTTGTACAAAACAATCAGATTGCAACTCCTCATCTCAACAACATGAAACTGCCAATAACTTTGGAGGCTTCTCTTTCAGCGACAAATTTCGGTCTGTTTTCCAGCCCTTGGTCAGTGAAGAAGAGGAGAAAAGGCCAATTAGGAAGTCCTTTTCCCAGCCTGGGCTGCGTTCCTTTGCTTTTAAGAAGGATTTGCAAGAGGGAAGCCAAAGGAGTAGCAGCTTTGTCAAGTCTTTCGAAGAAGATGCCATTTCACTGAACCTAAAAAGTCAACTCATCTATGGACACAGTGTTGTGCAGCCAACAGACATTGCAGAAAACCGGACAATGTTGTTTACGGTAAAGCAAAATGTGCAGCTTTGGTGCTTTCTCATCTTGGAGTTTGGAGTGGCAAACACCAAAGCAGATATTCTGACAGATGGCTGTTACTTCTTTTAATAACTTAATTGCAATTACCACAGCTTAACTTAAACTTGCCTATTTCTCTAGAAAGCATTGCTAGTCAGTGTAAATTGTTTTACATAGTCAAAATCAGTTTATATTGAATAGTTTAAAACAGCACTACCTGTAATATTGGCTTCTAAGAACAGCTTTTAGAAAGCCACAGCAAGTTAGTAGGTAGTTATACAATTGCAAAATGGTATGTACAGTTACACTAGCTATTAACAGTAGAAATAAATTTCCAGGTGAATGAGTTAACTGTAACTAGAGCAGAAGGACCAAACCATGCCTGGGGGCTAGTAGACTCTATGTCCTGTGTTAGGCAGCATAATTCATGGAGGTCCTCTGCTGCCAGCATGCCTGTATAATGGTGGAGTAGTGTAGTAAGTTCCTAGACTACTCCACACCTGCTTCCACTGCAGGCCTACTCTTGTGTGGGTAGCAATGCCTTGCCTTGATAGGTGAGCAGCAAAATAATTTTTAAAGACCTGAGAAATAAAGAATGTGTTATTTGCTTCTCTTACAATCCTCTTGATACATAAGTTATGTAACATTTTTATATATGTATCTTGTATCATGTGAACAGAATGCAGACCTGGAGCTGATATTGTGATCACTGACTATCATAAGATCATCTTGGATCTGTCAGCTGCTGTCGGGGCTGGGAGGTTTTAAGGACAGCAGCAGAATGGAGTGGGTGCAGTTACAGCAGTTTTTTTGGAGGAGGGGAAGAGAAGCATTGCTTTAAGGTGGATTGCCAAAGTGTCATGTCTGTAAAAGGTAACAAAAAAAGAGGCGTAGTTAGCGATACCTGATTTAAAACTTCTGGTCAGTTGTGGCAGGCTGACATCAGAGAGAGAAGTGGAAGAAGGTGGAGAGAAATTTTATGCATCAGTAAAAACAATTCCATGTTTACTTTCCCTGAGCATGTATCTCATACAGAAAATTTAGACAACCTTTATAATAATGCCTAATTTTTAAACAATTCCTGACTCCATTATTCATTTGTGGCACGTGCTATAGGGATAGGGACATTATATTATATATGGACTGCTCAAAGTCCAGATCTTCTTACTCCAGTGAGTGCATTTTTAATTTGTATTAAATAGATGCAACAGTTCCCAAAAACACATGCAGCTTCAGCCTGAACATAATGTGAGTCACTTGCTGACAGGCTCATTTCCCAGTTGTGAGGTTCTACTGCTCTGCTTTCTATCTTGGGTTGCTTTTTGCCTGGGAAAATATTGTTTAGAATGCACAGTTGTATTCTTTTGCTATTCAGTTGGTCTAAATTCAGCTGAATATAAGGAAGTGACGTAACTGTGGTTTGTACCTCCGGTATCCCCAAGTTTGTGACAGAGCTGAGTTTGTTGGTTAGCCATCCCCCATGGTCAGCAGGTTCTCTGAGTAATGGTATGCATGCAGTATGCACAGGTCAATCAACTGCTCAGCAGTTTCTGTATGGCTACATATTAAGCTCTTAAAAGTAACTCCATCAGGAGTTCATCAGGAGGGAAAAATTTGTTTGTATTTTCACAGTTAAAGTTCTTCCTTGGATCTTCCCCAGGACTGCAGCAGAGGTTAGTTGGTGTATGAGGTGTGAAAAAAGTTATCTGCTGACTCTCCTCACCTTGTCCAGACAGTCCAGATTTGGTGTCTGTTCCTGAAGAGCTGCTTTCCTAGCCAATTTCTTAGTATTTTCTTAATTCATTTTAGGCTTTTCTCCTGGCTGTGCCCTTTTTTTTGGGGGGGGGGGAGAGGGGAGGAGGGAGGAGCATGGGTGGGGAGAAGGGGTGTGTTGTTGGGCTTTGGTTTTTTTTTTCCTTTGTTCTGTTGGATTCAAATGATCCCTGCTGCCCTGGGGCCAAGTGTGAAAGGAGTATGTGGGGCTGAGCTAAGGGAGGGGAAGGCAGCAGCAGTCAGGAGGGGGCTGCCGAGTAGGTGTTGGAAGGAATCTCACGAACACAGGCGAGGTCAGCCTGGGGACAATACAAGGAAATCAACAGGGGACTGGGGAAAATCATTGTGACTGGTTGAAGTCAAAGAGGTGGAATGTGACCATTTTTAGACACACACAGGTGTGGCACATCTCACTTCATTTGTACACAGGGTTTCCACCTTCCTTAAGAAATGATGGATATATTGGTGCTTCTGATGTTTTTACGTGCATCTTTTGGGATATGGTAGTGGTTGAAGCTTCAGCAGGTTTGTTATTAAGTCACACTCCTGAATGTATTGCAATTCTATTGCATCTTCCCTAAAAGCTGATGTAAGATTTGTCCTCTGCAGAATTTTTGATGTGCTAGAAACTATGAGGAATTTAAATTCTATCTGTTAAAAAGGTACAAAGATGCTGCCAGAAGCTGAAAAATTGAAAACAGCAGTTTCACCTTAAAAATGCCTCTCAGCCCTCAAAAGTTAGCATGAGCTTTTGGGTCACTGCTGTACAAACTGCCCACAGATTAATTTAAGTTAGAAAATGTGCTCCAGTAAGCTCATTTTGTATAGTTCAAGTTAAAACCTTTAGATTAAATGGTGTGTATATCTTAAATAAATAAATAAATAAAAGCCTAAAAAAATAATCAGGTGGAGTATAGGTAGAGGCACGCACTTGGACTTAAATTTTAGGACCAGTTTCACTAATTAGCTTTTCAGAAATGTGGTATGTGACAAAGCTGCAGAAGATAAGGGAGTGTTGAGTGTATTTTCTCAGTGCAAACTAAGTTATTTATGGTATAATATTACTCTCATCTAATTAAAGTCTCAGTCTCTTGTCTCGTGAAAATAAATATTAATTCAGTAATGTGAGGAGCTCTGAATGCCAGATCAGTGTTGTTTCCATATTCTTACTTTCTCTGGTAATAATACACTGATTGGTCTAAACATACCGGTAGAAAAAAGTAACTTATATTCAGGAAACATTTTATAGTGAGACAAAAGGAAGTGTAATGGTATTTGTTATCATCTTGATTTTTACTTTGCTCTTTTTAGATTGGCCAGTCTGAAGTTTACCTTATCAGTCCTGACACAAAAAAAGTAGCAATTGAAAAAAGCTTTAAAGAAATATCCTTTTGTTCTCAGGTAAGAGTGCAGTGTGTTCTCTCTGTTTTCCTTTTCTCTTTTTTTTTCTTTTCATATTCTCCACTTGTAAATGCTCACATACTCCTTCCTGTCTCCTAGTATTTCAAATGGATTCTTATCTCAGCAGTGTCGGTGATTGCTATTGACAAGTTGCTAGTTAATCAGTAATTTTGTAAAACCATGGTTATTTTCTCTTGCTTTGCATTGTAAATTCTGAGATACTTCTGTGTGCAGTGGATGAATAATATGATCTAGAATGGACACCCTGATCAGCTCTGGTTTAAGATTTCAGCAGGCCTGATGCAGTTGTTCGAAGTTCTGCTTGGCATCTTCATATGGTTTAAATTTCACTAAAATTTTTAATTTACTGTGATTCATCATTATGATTATTGATACAGCAGTGTATTGCTTCTCTTTATTTGATTTTAATATTGTTGTGCTATAACATTTAGCAGGTACTAAGATGGTGCTGAGCATAATTACATTTCTATAAACAGGCTCTACCACTGTGCATGTAATTCATCATCATAAGTATGATTTGTTGGGTTTTTTCTTTAAACAAGCGTGGTGCACTGAGGAGACGTGCACTGTGATCACCCGACTCTACTCATCTGAAAGTCTTTTCATAAAAGAAAAAAAATCCCAGAAATTAAAAAACCTTAGCATTTTACCAGGATGTAATGTTTATCTACTGTTGCGGGTTGCTTGTACCTCAATTTGCATGCCTTTAGGGAAAATAAATGCTTCCATGTCTGATCTTTAAGTTATATATTAAATGATTTTCATTTTTTAACTAGCCAAGCTTTTTTTTAGATAAAAAAAAGTTTATCCATTTTTCACTATTGCTTTCATTTGCTCTTAGAAATGTAAAGCAATTGTTGACCACTTAAGCAAAAGAGAAGAAAAACAGTGAGCTTTTTGCCCCCCCTCATATTTCTAAAACTGAGTAAAATACATGTTGAATAGCATTTATTCGTCTCTGTGTTTTCCAATGGATCTATTCAAATTGTTGTTTAAAAAATAAAAGAGGAAAAGAAAAACAAGAAGAAAATGCCACCAAAACCAACAAACAACCTTAGACTTCAGTAAAGTTTAAGATTCATGAAGTAATAAAATAGATTTTTAATGGCCAGATGACTTTAATGTAGCTGTAACAGTGATATGGGACCTACCTGTAATGCTGTTGGGCCTTTCATGCTTCTGTTACTTGGAGAAGTACAGGCACAAAATATTGAAAGTACATGTGACTGCTTCATTACTGTTGTTTTTGTACTAGGGAATTAGACATGTGGATCACTTTGGGTTTATCTGCAGAGAATCTTCAGAAAACGGAGGCTTCCACTTTGTTTGCTATGTGTTTCAATGTACAGATGAAGCACTGGTAAGTGCCTAATGGAACAGTAGGCCCTAAAAGTCTTCTGTTGCTCTATGCTCTTTGTTTTGCTGAAGGTCTTTAAATCCTGCTCTGCTTGGAAATGTAATTATTTAAAAAAGGTAACTAACATAGCAGTACTTTATAGTACATAGTACTAACATAAAAGTTACTGAAATGTAACTGACATATCAAAGCAATTTTTAATTTGCTTTGAAGGCAGAAGCTTAAGTCCCCTTTAAGATCCAGTAATTTAATTGCACAAAGTTAAGACTGTATACCTCTTTTTGGGAAGAGGATTTCTTCATAGTGCACTCATTCAGAAAATCAGAACTACACTGTCAGGCTAGTGCATCACAACTTCAGTAAGCTTTTTTTATCACAGACAAGATAGAGGTAGTATCTTTTATTAGACCACAGTCATAAAATTAGGTGGCCTGGAGAGATATGACTTCACAGTAAGTTTTGTCTTTGCTTTGTGTTTGTGTGTAGAAATGGCAGGGGAACAGCTTTTCTTTTTAATCATAGCCACATTCCCAAATAAGCATCAGTATCATTCTAAAAGACTGTTGTGTTTGTGGTAAGGAAAACAGAAGCTCAGTGGAAGAGTGAAATTCTGTTCTTTTGCACTCTAATCTTTTCAGGTTGATGAAATCATGATGACATTGAAACAGGCTTTCACCGTAGCTGCTGTGCAACAGACTTCCAGGGCACAGCCCCAGCTCTGTGAAGGATGTCCTATGCAAAGCTTGCATAAACTCTGTGAAAAGATAGAAGGTGAGGTTTAAAAACTTCCTAGTTGAATATTTCTTCTAGTAATTTTACTGGGGGACAGTCTTACATGTTAAACTCTATGAGAATGAATGCTTAAAAAGAGCCTGGAACTTGGGATGGAGGGTTGAAAGCCAGTCTTTCTATTTAGCAGACTGCAACATCATGTTATCTGTAAGGTAATAAGAATTTTCTAAAGAAAAGTTAAACTCCTTTCTATATTTTAGTTGAATTTTTGAAAACTCATCAAGTCTAAATATTACTGAATTGCAGCTAGCATGGTTCTATTAGCTGCCTAAATGCTGAAAATTGCAGGTAAGAAACTCCTTAAGAATATATGCTGCAATAGTTTTGACCCCCTGTCCTATGGAATCCACTTAAATACCAGCATTACGCTATCATAAACCTGAACCAAGCAGTATGCATATGTTTGTGATGTTGATTTATGCCCCTTCATGAAAATGCAGCAGTTAAGAGTTGTAGGTGTTGCTCAGAAAACAAGTTTAAAGGAAAAAAACCAAACAAAATCTCTTTGCATTTCAGCAAATTTCACAGTTGGGTTTTGTTTGTTTAAGTAATGTCTTGAGTGAATAAAGGGCAACAGCAGCTTGTCAGATCACATGACAGTAGCTTGTTGGACTAAAACCTATCTAGTATTAATTTGATGAAACTGGAGAACTTCCAAAAGTACTTTTCACTCTATTTTGGTATCAGCTAGCTATGATTTTTGAGCTATGATTTCTTAGAGGCAAAGGATTCTCAGTGCCTTTAATCGTGCCATCTGGTTAAATATATCATCTGCTTCTGAAGGAGAAATGCCATAATCAGAAACTGAAGTACAAAATACTGTTGATGGTCTGCTCTTTTTCCACAGAAAATAGAGGAAGGGAAATTAATCCAGGATGAGAGCAGGAAAAATAATCTGAATGAGAGAGTAGTCTGCTTTAGACTCTCCGTCAGTAAATGTTGTCAGCGAGAGGCACAACAAGAAGTTTACTAATATGCAATAAATTTACTCTTTTTCAGAAGAGGCTAAGGTATACAAATTGGAGAAAATCAATGGAAATCATATTTGTACCATTAGCAAATCCAAGTAGTACTGCAGAAATCACCAGCAAAGCAAACTGCTAAAATGCAGTCAATTGTGGGTTTATTTTATCTTGTGTGATAATGGAATCTTTAGCTAAGAGTATAATCCCGGTCTGTGCTCAGTAAATCTCCTCATTACAGAGTTCATGTCCCTCACTTTAAAGACATGAGTTCACTAACAGCTTTAAATTAACCTAGAGTTCTTTTAGTGCCCCATTATGAAATCACTGCAACGGGTCAGCTCAAATAACTGACAAGCATATTTATGTTGATTAATTCTGACAAATTTGACCCTGTGATTTGTTCCTTTTTATTCTTATTGGCAGGGTTACACCCTTCTAAGACTAAATTAGAGCTACAAAAGCATCTAACAACACTAAATAACCAGGAGCAGGCCTCTGTTTTTGAAGAGGTTAAGGTAAGCTCTGTGTTTCCTACAAGATTTTAAAGCAATTGAAGTTTTTGCTAACATCAGCATCAAGCACCAAAGTTGTGGGTTTATTTGTGAATTATCTTCATTTAATAGACTGTTAATCACCTTGTGCTTTAATTTCAATAACATTATTTTTTAGAGCTGTTAAAAACTTGTCCTTTTATAACAGTGGCTCATTTTACTCGTTTTTCTTCTGCTTTCAATGAAAAAAGTTGACTTCTCGCTGAGTAAAAATGCACACATTTTTTGCAGGTGAAAGCAAAATAAAATTGTGAGAACATTCAACTGTTAACTTGACCAAACCAAATGACTGTAACATTCCCAGATCAAAAGAATTCCTGCTTAACATTTATCCTTGATCTTAATACTTGTCAAACTAACTTAAAAAGTTTAACTTTCTATCTTCTGAATTAAATCCATTTTAGCACAGAGGAAAGCATAGTGGATGTAAGACAGATGAACACTGTAGGAAATGTCTTTGGGATTGGCACACTATTGAAGATTAGGGAATTTCAGACATTTTAAAAATAATATTTCCTTCCTCTCTTGAATCATTTCAGTCTCTTTGTGTGTTTCCTTGTGGCAGTTTATCATCCAGTACCAAATTTGGAAGTTACTCTGCGGGACTGATTCCATGACCTAAGTAATTAGTATATAGTAGCTAGCTGGCACTGTTGCCTTTTAGTATTCTGTACACATTTTAAAGATCTAAAGCTTCCAGTAGTCACAGAAAACTGTTAATTGATTCTGATGAGAGTCTGCAAATGTTTAACTTGGTCAAACCAAGGGTATGTCTCTCCTGTCTGCCTTTTTCAGCTGATTTTTTTGAGTTGAACTGCCTGACATTTTAGTTGTAGCGTTCTCAGAGCTCCATATGTTGTAACCATGATTTGCATTTTTTTATAACCGTCTTTCTAAAGATATTTTTATTAATCTGATGTGCTACCTTGGCATTGCCTAATTCATAAGTTACCAGCTGCATTACCTCAGTAGTCTTAGAACAGCATATACTTTTCAAAAGTTAGGTTTCTGAAATTGAATTCTATAATAACTTCTTCTAAAAGTATTTTCATTTACAGTAGTTCAGATCTAAATAGAATGCAGCAGGGAAACATATGTTCACCTTGTGCACTGTTTTTTAAAATACCTGTATCATTTCCTAAAACTGAAATGTCCAGTGAGGTTTTCTAGCAGAAGGGTTTTGCAGCAGAACCACAGTATTTTGGTTTTCTGCACATCAAAAGCAGATTGGAAAAATATTTTTATGTCTTAATATGCTTTTGACAATTTAATACGTCCAGAGTTGTCTTTTCATGTAAATTCTGCTGTGTATGGTGAGGTCAAGTGTTTCCATACCTGTGTTCTTTGCCTGGGACACTGGTGCCCTCTGGTGGACTGGAGTCCAAGTTAAACTGGTTCTTAGCGATGTATTGACAGTCAGATTGTAAGAGGAAATATATGCTGTTATACAAATGTATAATTACTATGCTTGTGGTGTTTTCAATTAAAGAAATTAAGACCAAGGAATGATCAAAAAGAGAATGAGTTGGTTATCTCTGTTTTGAGAAACATGTATGAAGAAAAACAGAAGGACCATATCCATGTTGGAGAAGCAAAACAGGTAAGTAAGTAATCGCTAAGTTTTAGTTCATGTAAGGAGGATCCATGGAAAAAAAAAACACCTCCATTCCATTTTTATATTTTTCCAAAGGCAAATTTCCATCACTGGCATTTTGGAACTTCAGACTGTTGGGAGCGGTGAACACTGGTTTTGCTTATGATTCATAGGCTGTTGTTCTGTGCCACAACAGGCATATCTGATTTTGAGGTACCCAGTACAGTCTGATTTCAGGCCTAGGAGATAAGTATGCAAACAAGGTAGACCACTGATCTGATTGTTGCTCTCTTCTCACTGCAATGAAAATTCGTTGTGTGTGAGAGAACGAATTTGTAATTGTTCTCAGATAGTCTGTGGCATTTGCCATCCCACTGTCTGTATGAGTCATTGTCCTGACAAACAGACTGGATTTGATTCTTGATAAAGACTTACATTTACTTAATAGCTAGAAGTTACTTACTTGTACAAACCACCTTTTGAAGTGGCCTCAAGGAGGAGTAGCTGAGTAGGATTGCTGCAGAAACCACATCTGCAACTCGTCCATTTCTGCAGAGCTGTGTTACCTTTCATTCTGTATCAGGTTGTATTACTGCTGTTTAATTGGCTATTTATACAGCACAGTTAAGATTTTTCAGAAGGGATTAGTGATTTTGGATGCCTTGCTTTGTGACTAACTAACTAACTTGAGACACCTCATGGATGTTTGTGTTTAAAAGAGGATCAGCACCAGTTCTCTGAAAACTTTCAGTTCCAGTTGTTTGACCCTTTTAAAAATCTTGGCTGTCCCACCACTGCTGGCTGGTAATTTCACCATGATGACTGCTGTTGTCCGTTTGTGATAGAAACTAGCAAGTATATATATGGAGTCTAATGAGACCCAGAAGGAATTTGGGACATAGCAGCAAGTCTTTATTTACTGTTTGTTCACTTTGCTAATCTCCTCTTTATGGCTTACTAGCTAACTATTGACCTCCCTGAGGAAGCAAGAAGAAAACTTTGCATGTTTTGTTCTCTGATTTTTTGCCTTGGGCATCTCACCAGAAATACACTTTTAAGAAAAGAGCATTGTAGTTGTGGTCTGACAGGAAGAAACATTGCCTGAGGTCCTCTATCATCATACCTGAAATATTTTTATTTGGTCTAATGACAGCCGATTATCAGATAGTTGTCAGTAATGAATGGCTTGGAAATAGGGATATAGGAAGCAAGATAATATCTTGATATGTCTTCAGTGTGATTTGAAAATCCCTAAGGCCTGCTGCAGTCTGTTTACCCAGTTTCTGGAACCAAAATTGGTTAATCTCATGTTTGCAAAGATGCCAATGCTCTAACAACAGAGTTGACTTGCCCTTAGTCCATCATTTGTCTTAGCACAACATTTTATATTTACTCTGATAATTTATCTCCAGCGCTGTGTAATAGCAGATACCTTTGAACATGTACACTGGCAGTGTTTTTTTTCTCAGCAGTTATTAACCCCTAACACCCTCATGTCCTTGTTCCCTTCTTTTCTGCAAAGGTATTCACTTTACTGCTTTTCATAATATTTTTTTTCCTAATATTTAAATCAGGGGAGGGAAGAATGTAAAGAAAAAAAAAAATCCAACCCCAAAACCTGATATTAGTACATGGGTTTTATCTAACAAAAATGACCTTCAAATTAAGTGTCTTTTTCATAAGAATGTAATAGCAGGCAGTATCTAATTTGCTCTTTGTGGATAAAATAAGTGAAGGTTAAAAGAAAATAAACATTCGGGGCTCTAAATTTAGAGCCAAAAAAGGTAGAGCAGCCTTAAGATGAAGCCCAAAAACAACACTGAAAATTGTGTTCTGGTATCAGCTGCAGGTATTAGGTTTAGATGGTAATATTTGCATCATAGAGTCATTTTTGTATTTGCTGCACTGGTCTTTGCAAGCACTAAAAATGAACTGAAATATTTATTTAAAAAGAAAACTCTCAATAGACTGTTAGCTTTAAGATGGAACTATTTCAACTGGTGAAACATACAGAAAAATCAGGTTATTATACATCTTCCTGACCTTTAAGAAGCCCTGTTTTAATATAGTGGAGACACTTGAGAGTTTTTGTTAATGATGAGCTTCACCATTTTTGATTAATTTCTTGGCAAGAAAAGTAAATCCATTCAGCAATCTCTAATCTGTTACACTTAAACATTTGGAATTTGTACAGTTGTACTTTATTGTTAAAGAATATTTTCCAGCACAGCCATAGATCCATATTGAAGGGGCACTTCTTCTGAAGCTGCTACATTTCCTTTAGGAGATTTCCTGGTCTCATGTTAGGATAGTTTGTTAAATTTCAGTATAAATATCAAAAGATCAAAATGCATGAAACGCCAAGGACACCAGAAGAAAGTATTGATCCAGGTCATGGAAGCCTTCAGACTGTTCACTGAGATCCTGCTCCATGCTCTTGAGTATTTCACATTTATATTTTTAAATACTTGCAGACTTCACAACCCCCTACTGAGAATGCTGTAAATGAAGTGCCCAGCAGTACTTCGAGATTCAGATTAGATATGTTAAAGAACAAAGCAAAAAGATCCCTGACAGAATCATTTGAAAGCATTTTGTCACGTGTAAGTATCATCATGTTTATTGCCTCTGAACATAATTTCATTGTTTTATTTATTTGAATGATAGAAAAGTAATATTTGTTATCTTTCCAGGTTGAATGCCAAACAACAAATATTAAAGGAACAAAAATTTGGCAGTCTCATTCTCCTCAGCAGTTAAATTGAACAAAAACCTAGTACAGTTTATTAGCTCATAGACATGCAACTAGTAGTGACAAAACAAGGCTTTCAAAGGTTATTTCAGACACTGTATCTAACCTGCTTCCATGAAACAAATGATGGCAAAAGCATGTTCTCTCTGTTATTATTATGCTCATAGAGAAGATTTTTAGTTGAATATCTCCCCTCATTACTTACCAGCCAGCATTTCTAGAGTTCACCCCTGTAAAATTCTGCTGTGAGCATGTTCAGTGTATGAGACATAATGATAGTGGTGCTACACAAAGTATAGTAGCTACTGTTCTAATTTTTGTCAGTTTGTCCTGACCAGCATAAGGTGTCTTCCCATAAGCACAGCTGTATATTGATTGCATTTTCATTGTCATGGCTGTTTTGATGGAAATTCTTTATTTTTATTAGATCTGAGGCATTTTGCCTGATATTCAAGGAGAGTATAGTCATTATTGTGAATAATGATAACATTTTGTATTTTATCTAGAATAACAGCTCAAAGAGAACATAAACCTTAACTTCAGAACATAAAAAAAATATATCATTTAAGGTGAGGAAGACAGAAATTCCATAGTTGTGTCAGCATATAAGAACCCAGTAGTTTCTTGATATTTCTCTTGGCTACATAAAAACATTATAGAAAAATACTGTTGAACAGATTATGCAAAAATATTTATGCTTTCTGATTTGTAGCCATTGAAATGATAATACCAGAAATGATGTTCTGTTGTGTATTAAATCTATATGGTTTTAAGAGCTTTATAAGCCTTCTTGTTTCTTTGTATCTTGGCAAGAACTACCTAGTGTCAAAATTTCCCATTTGGAATTCAGAAGGTACTTTAACAGTAGTTACAGTACATTTATTCAGTATGTGATTATGTACGTATCATGGAAAGCACATCATTTCCCATGAGAATTCCTCAATTCCACCAGATCCTTTAGAATGTCCTGAATGAAGCCTTTGTTTCTCACAAGGGCAAAGGCTGTTCTTAGACATTTCAGGAAATTTAATTTGGATACTGTATTTGAAAATTAAAGATCCTGACTATGCTACACAAATCTTTTTTTGGTATTCCTACACATCATAATCCTAACTGCTGGTGTGCTTTATCTCTGCAGGGCAGTAAAGCCAGAGGTCCGCTGGATAGTGCTGGTGCTGTGGATTTGGACAGTTCTATATCCAGTTCTTTAAACAGCACACGTAAAGTAAGTAGTCTGGGGTGAATGTATATACTTGGAAACTTCAAATAATATTCCCTGAAAAAAATAGTCAGATGTGAAATGTGGTTATCAACCACTCATATAACTGTTCTGTTCTAGCATCTTGCATTTTGTTCTGATTTTTTTTTGGGGAGTAAGCAAGCTAACTGATTGTATGTGAAAGGAAATAAACCCTAGAGCAATCAAACAATATGATAAAACAGTATCACAGAGTAGGGAGGGTAGGTATATCCTTTTCTTCCTACCTGCAAGAGTCCTTTTGCCACTTACTTATCCATAGGTTCCATCTTTATTCCTGTACCAAGTCCCTCTGAGGGACAGGGCTGCATTCATTGCAGGCAGCCACTTGGATCAGTGACTGCCTTTCCCTTTGCCCCATGTCATCCCTTCCTCACACTCTGCTGGACTCCAGCTTGAAGCAATATTTAAGTTCTTTAGAATTTGCTAGTTGATTATCCAAATCATTTTTCATGTATGGAATTTGTCAGAATGTGTGCGAGTCCTGTGAGGGACAGCTTGAGCAAAATCATTTCCTACTTTACTCTGGTAACAGACTTTCAGGCTAAGAAATAGCAGTCGTGTCAATACAATGGTGACATGTAAGATGCTGTTATCTCTAGAGCTTCACTGGAGATTTCTGTACTGTTCGGCATGATGGGATTCTTAGTAAATCTGTGTTCCTGTTCTCTGGAATTTTCAAGTTGCTTTCAGGCTTTTCATTCTGTTCCCTATGCTATTAAAAGAGAACAGTGCAATTGGGTCTCTATTTGAAATAAAAAAGCCATGTTACTGTAAATAAACATATATTTTTTATATATCTTATTGTGTGAGTCTGTATATGTGAAATAAAATATTATATAAATCATCTGAATCTTGCAAGAATGTGCGGTAAAATAAATGCAGTAACTACCATGCTGCTGATCCTAATGTGGTTGGTTTCAGCCCTGAAAGTGCATAGTGTGAATGCAGCATTGAATTAATCAGAATCATAAAACTCAAATAAAAGGTCAAGTAATTTCCCCTTTTTTGCATGGTTGGAAAGCTTTTAGTCTGAATAAAACAATATAAGCAAGCAGCATAGAAGAAGACAGTCATCTTCTATGGGGGCAGCCTAGTACTCTGCAGGTTTGGATACAGCTGTTGATTTTTCTCTAGTGCCTCATCACCTATGGACTCCTGACTTCAGGTAGTCAAGAATCTATTCTTACTGCTTATGTTTTTGAAAGAATGGCCAGCTCTGCAAGAAACACATGAGGTGGTGAATGAAGAAAAATGCATGGTTTTGGACTGAAACAGGCATCTGATCATAGGAATGCTATATTCTCAGATGGGGTGCAATCTATATAGTATTCTGAAATGTCAGCCTTTTCATTGCTGTCACTGTTACCCAAATCTGACTCTTCTGTTCTGACCCCATTTCTTCTGAGTTGTATTTGACATACTGTAAAATACAATTACTCTCAAAATAACTTTTCCTCTCTAAAATGGAGACTCTGATTTTTGACCTACATTAATAACAAAGACATAAACCATCAAAGATTCTTTCTTTAGGCTATCATGATAAAACATGCAAGTTTAAAGCAGATCTCTGGGATGTGAATGATGATATGAGACTGCAACCTCAAAGACTGATAACTCTTGATAAGATTGATAACCTTATGTCTTGCACTGCTAGGAAGCACCATTGTGTGAAAAGGATAAAGACAGACTTCCTGCGCTTCCTACAGAAAACACTGTCAAGACCAGTGGATCAGTGGGTGATCTCTCCAGTGATGCAGATGATTCCCCAGTTGAGCAGTTACCTCAGCAAAGCTTTCGGAGGCGGGCAAACACGCTGAGTCATTTGCCAACAGAAAGCCAGGAATCTCTGGTACCTGTTGAAACATCGCCGTCTGTTCCCCAGAGGAAACTTATGAGGTATCACTCAGTGAGCACAGAGACTCCTCACAAAAGAAAGTAAGACTTACTAAAAGCAGGCTATGATTTTGTTTGTTGAGGACATATTTTGGGATGATAATTGCATACCAGGTATGTCCTCTTAATGGATAAGAAATGTATCACAGCAGTGTGTCACTCACTGGAGGTTTGTAGGTATTCTGTTTAAAAACACTTTTAGCCCTGTGTACTCCACAGAGGAGAGAAAATATAAGATGTTGTAGTTCCACAGTATAAGTGTAAGCGCAACGTAGGATTGCTCCTATGGGGTTTTATTATATTTTTTCAAGCAATATTCCTTAATGCTGGTTGTTTCGCTCTGCAAGCAGCATAAAGAAATGCTACTTCTTATTCTCTATAGAGAAAATTCTGGTAGCATTTGTGATCCTGAAAACCTTACTAGTTGGTGAATTCATGTGTGAGTTCACAATAACACAAAAACTGACATAAATTACCTAATTCTTGATAGAGGTGAGGCTCCTGTCTAACTTTTCAACAAGTCTATATAGACTTTACTCATAAAACCAAGTTACTGCTTGCCTTCATGCTAATATTCTTCAAACTGTCCTCCTTCAAAAGCCTGCCTCCACATCTCTAAAGTCTTCTCTTAACTTTATGGCAGTTTTCTTCGCTCCCTGTATCTGGCTTTTCCCAATTACTATGGAAACACTCTGTAGGCTTCTGTTTGGCTGCCAAGATGCTTGTTTACACAAGTTAGACAGTAGGAAATCTGAATGTATTTCAGCTCATTTTTTCTCTGCAGGAGGTGGGGCAGTAAAAAAAACATGCCTGCAATAGGTGATGACAGTGAAAAAAGGGGAATTATAGTATTTGACATGAAACATGCCCTGGGTTGCCTTTTTGTCCCTTCTTTGAACCTTTTTAATTCTAAAATACTAGAAGTTTTTTGTAGTGCAATTTAAGACTTGCAGTGTTTGTTGAGAGTTGCCCTGATGTTTGTAGCTGCTTGCTCAATCAATTCTTATTGTACTGTAGGAATGCAGCTAGAAATTAAGTACATTTTTAATTTCCTTGGTTATTTTTATTTGGGTTTGATCATGTAATTTTTAGTAACACTGAGTGTGCATGCTCCCTCACATAAAGCAAAAAGAAATCACTGCTTCCCTTTTTAGCAAAAGTATAGAACCAGAGGAAATGGAAAACTTAGAGGAAATGGAAAAATCACTGGAATTACAGACTTTTAACGATTCTTGAACATTTTATAAGTGTTTTTGAACAGCTTACCTTAATTCTTAAATTGTTTCCAAAGTGTAAGTAAATTCACTTCTTCATGTAGCATTTCACTTCTCATCCATTAGAGCTCTTGATCATATGCCTGGCTTTATCATAGAAATCAAGAGGAAGTGCATATGAGGGAGAAGAAAGGGGTGTGTCAGTGACAGGTTTTGGGGAGTTTAAATACAGTCATATGCTGAAATGCCTCGCTGAAGCCTGTAAATGTGTATGTGGGACTTTGCTGATTGGGTTAAAATGTTCAGCCTCTTACTGCATTAACTGTGGAAAACATAGGAACTGGCTCATTTGTATATGGCAGGTCTCTTTCAAAGATTAGAGAAGTGATTCCCCTTTTTATTTTTTTTTCTTCCCCTTTCCCCTTTTTTCCTCTCTGTTTTGTTCTTTGTGCTACCTCAACTCCATCACTGGTTGGAATCCCACTATATGGTTTGAAAACATCTGTTGGTGAATCTAAAAGTTCTTCTGGTCAACTTGCACGTTCTCCTACTCTAACTCGTCTTAATCCTTCGGCCTCTTCACCCAACTTCTTTAAATACCTAAGGCATAATTCAAGCGGAGAACAAAGTGGGCATTTTGCGCAGAAGAGGTGAGCCAGCTAGCATAGTTTGGAGAAGTGTTTGTTTTACCATGTCATAAATGTGAAGCTGTAGTGTAAATAATTTAATACAGACCAAAGGTCGTAGATTTTTATGGGAGAGGGGACTAACTGCTCCGCTACTGAATGCAGAGCTGCTACCCATGTAATTTTTTTGTTTAATAAATTATTTCAGACACATGGGCACATGACTTGCTTTGGAAAAACTGGCTCTAAAGAAACTTGTTATGCAGCAGACAGCAGCACTACTTAAATTGTGTGAGGAATAAGTTGCCAAGAACGTGTGATTCAGCTCACTTTGTCCTTCCTGAATCATACAGTTCTGTTCTGCTTTGTTCATGATAACACACAAACATATTACTATTTTGTGCCTGACATTAAGGGCAAATTGGCAAAGTTAAATAAATGGGGCAAGAAGTAGGACTGTGGAGAGCTGATTACAAAGAAAACCCACAACCAAAAATCACAAACAGGAAAACATTCCCCCCAGAACCAGTCAGAAAACCCCGACCACCAGCTTATGTATTTGTGGTGGTTACTTTGAGCAATATCAAATAATATTTTTCTGTGCCTCCTTTCTTAGAAATTCTTTACGTATAGAGAATGTTGAGCAAAAGACATTAACCCATCATTTCCCTGAAAATCTGAAACAAGTAGCTCCCTAAAAATCTTAACCATGCAACTCTTTCTTAAGTTCCTTGAGCTAAAACTGTTTATTTTAGCTCAAAAGGCTAATGAGACCAAACATCCTTGGAAGTGCTGTTTACAGTCATTGACCATTGGCAGGCAATTTTTTTTTTTGCTGTTGTTGTTTATTGTTTGGTTTTGTTCTCTCAGGTGAAGGTTTCCTGTTTTTCCAAAGTGTTGATTCTTCTGACCATGAGAAAATACTCAATTGAGAACCTTGTTTCACCAGTTCCTTCAGTTATATTTGTGAACCAGCATCTCTTTAATTTAGCTTCACCTCAGAAGTATGGTGTAGGAAATGAGTTTATTTTACTCTTCATTTTAATTCTGCATGCAGAATAGCAACTTCTTCCCTTTCCCTGTCATTTAAGGGTATACCATATAAAACCTCTAAGAAACAAGACTGAAAATGGAAATTTATAGGGATTATCAAATGGGTTAATGAGTTTAAATCAATAAAGTTGAGCTACCTAAATTGATTGTATTCTGTAAGTGAAATTGCCATGCAATTGTGATGGATTTACAATATGACTTTAAGCAAAACCTCTTTGCAGGGCACACTGTGCAACAACCTTATCGCCTTCATGCTCAATACCATCTGATAAAGAACAGCTTTGCTTCATACTAGTGCTTTTCTCAGGGTATCTCCATCCCCCTCACATCTTCAGGAGACAGTGCTAAATGCCATCCAGATATATAATTTGAGGATTATCAGAAGCAGTTCTTTTTTAAACTTAGTTCTTCAGGAGTAAATTTTCCTACTCGCGTACTTTTGTGTACTCTTCTGAGAAAAGGCCTTGTAGTATCATTAGCCAAATAATTTTATATTTTTTAATTCCCTGCAAAGCCTGTTCATTATCTGAGTTGTTCTCACTTCCATCTATTGGCATTCTCTGAGCATGTTAGGGGCTTGTTATTTTAAAAGAGAGCAACATTATGTTGGCCAGAAGACTGCTGATGAAATTTGGTTAGTGCTCCTGTCTGTTGCATAAATACAGCCACAGTCCTAAATGATCAGTCAGAAGGCTCAACTTTTAACTTAAAAGTTCCAAGCTTGTCTGTTAATGCTTCACAGAATGTTTTTTGCCAAAGTCTTAGTTTTCATCTGCCACTGCAATGATTATCAGTGTCAGCTTTTCCTAACCTCTTCCCCCCAACTTGGTCTTTGAGACTGGTATTTAAGTAAATGTGCAATGATAAAGTTGGCATCAGTTCTGATTAGATTAAAGGACTTTAGTTGAAACATACACTAAGTATCTTAGAATACAGCAAAGAATAATAACTTTACTGGAAGTACATTTATTTATGTTGGAACATTTTAGTTTGCCTAAACAAATATGTATTTCAAAGTAGCACATTATTAGCAGTTTCAGTTTTGGCTTTGGTTTCCTTGATATTCAGGCCTTCAGGATTAAGCTGCTTCTTGTTTGAAACTAGCAGTATGTATTATTTTTATTCTGTGGATTTATACTTCTTTATTCTAAACTATGCTTTTCCCAACTGCACTCTCAGCATCTCCTACCGTACTGCCTTAAGGAAAAAGCTTCATTCTTCCTCTTCTGTGCCAAATTTCTTAAAATTTCTGGCTCCTGTAGATGAAAATAACACCTCTGACTTTAGGAGCACAAGGTAGGGTTCTCTCTTAAAGCCTGCAGGTAAAACTGTTTTCAAAGGTTTGTTTAAACTATTTCAAATGCTTCTTGCACTTGCAAAATGTGATTTGTGCAACAGTTCACTTGCATGTATTCTGCATGTGATTGCTGTCAAAAGGATGGAGCTGTACCAGACTCCTTGCCCATTACAGTTGCAGAACTTAGCCATTTTGATGTTATAATGATCCTGCAACCTCCACCTATGCACTTCAGTGATTATTCCTGCCAAAGCATTGTATTGGCAGTTTTCAGTTAAGAGAATATACATGGTTCATCCTAAGTAGGATGGAATAAGCAAAGAATAGTTTAAAGATGTAACAACTGAGAGTTACTAATGGGATTTTTAGTAGGAAAACAACATTGCTGTTCACTATTTTGTTTAATATTCTGAATACAAAGCTTTGTATGTAGTTTGTGTACATCAAATGAGTAACATACAAGGTTCCTAAACACTATTCCAAAGGTTGTTGTCTATTTCAAATGGTGAGTTGTGAACACAAAGGGCAAAAGTTTTGCTCTAAGTCTGTTTTGTGGATGAATATATTACATACCCAGTTCACAGAAGGTTACAAGTTTAGTTGGTGTTTATAAAGCTCCTTGATATATGCTGATAAAAGGTATCAACAGTTCTTTGTGCCTCCTATGAATAATTGCTAGATATTTTGGATGGCATTTAAATAGAATGGTAAAAATACATTATGGTGTATGTGTCTTTAATGCATTGGGTTTGCTGCAAAGAAAGCTGAGAACTGATTAAAACTGGAGAAGAGCTGCCGGGCCCTTTTGGTGAACCTGTGTGATGTTTGCAGCCTTGTATAAATCTGCTGCCACAAAGCAAGCTTCACTTACCCAACACTAAGCTTGACCCAGCACGTGCACAGCACACTGCACTCTGTAGTTGATGGTCACTGTTGTTACATGCACTGAAGACTGTGTCACTGATAGCAGATTCAGGCAAACTACTCACAAGCCATTCTGTGTTCACTGTTCTAGTGACTATGAATCTAAACACAGCCAGCAGGCCATTGGTGAGGACAGCCCTGTAAGGACACGACGGCATTCATGGAGGCAACAGATATTCCTGCGAGTGGCAACCCCTCAGAAAGCATGTGATTCTCCCAGTCGATATGATGGTAAAGTCTGTGTTTATTTGCTTCCATGAATGTTGTCAGTGGAGATAATGTGGATCATTTTGTCTACTGAGCAGACAAATTTGCCTGGTGCTTTGTTTGTACTGTCTTTGCACTTTCTCACCTACTCTTTGATCAAGCCAACCTCCTCAGCTGTTGAGGCTTTTAGTTTTCAGCTTTGGTATGTAACATAGTTTCAAAGTTGTGTCAAATTAACTAACTGGAGGAGCAATTATTGTTGTTTGTACTGTTTTAATGAGTTCTGGGTTTAAAAAAAGCATCACCAAGTATTGCTCTAGAAGAAAAGGTGAGGCTTCTGTTTCATCTTGCCATGCTGCAATATAGAACTCTGGACTAGAAAAATCCTGGCCTAGCAGAAGGAATTAAATTTCTTTTATGACCTCAGTTGAGTTCTGTAAAGTGTACTTCATACCAGACTGAATTTGACCACATGTATGCTGTTCCACTCTGTGACTTTTGCCACTTGAGCTACAGTTATCCACTGTTCTCATATTTATCTCCTGAAATTCTGTAAAGCTTAAGAACCACAGACTAGAAAAAAATCACTGCACATCAGAGTGCAGGTGCGACATTTTATCCTTCTCACTGAACCAGGTACTACAGCACATGCTGAGGCCAACAATACCTCAGAGAAGCTTGTGTCTGTAGATAATGGTCTCTGGCTCATTAAAGCTTGAATTTCACAGCTTGAGCTCTGCAAGCTTTACCTCCTTCTTGCATCTTAAAGAGAGACTTTGATTAATTGGACACAGCATATAACACAAGTGTTGTTAATGTAATGCTGGCAATGTAATTTGACTGATGTTGGGGAAGCTGTGTATGGGCATAGATGCCTCTTAAATTTAGTGTATTTTAGAATGAAGTGATCTCAAGAGCATGTTGTGTAAACACACTTTAAATGCTCCCGTATACTCAAGCCATTCTGTGAAGCTACTGATTTTTCAGATTTGATGCATCTTTTTGTGACTGGAAATAGTCTTACTTGTTTTTGAAAGCCACAAAACTTTTCCATATTAAATAGGAAAAAAAAATATCCTAAATTGCCTATTAAAGCATTTCCTCTGAGACATAATAGCTGCAAGATACAATCTTAACAACCTACAGCTGGATAAGCAGAATAGTTGGAGAAGCAAGTGTGGCCAAAATGAAAACAGGACGTACTATTAATAGATGTAGCAATTTAAAATATCTGGCCTTTTTCTTTACTGTTGTTTTCTTTTTCTGGTTTTGTTCCAATGTACATATTCAATTTATGAACCCAGAGAGAAAACTCAGAGTTAGGTTTTCTTCTTTACTTTATTTTATTATTATTTATAATAAGTATGGGGTTTTCTATTTGGGGTTTCATGCATCCCCTGGAACATTTCTGGCAGTAAAGAATACTCACTCATGTTCCAGCCTCTGTAGCCTTTAAGAGAGCTGCTATAAAGGTGATCTTACTTTGGACTCACCACCACAGTTAACTTAGTCACCTCTGTACTTCCAAAGTAAATGTAACTATCATTTATTGTCTTGTTCCTCTTTCTTTGGTACTGTCTTCAAGGAGAAGCAGCACATACATTGGAGTTTATTGATTTTGTAAGTTACTTGTACTTTTAGTCTTTCTCACTCTTTTTATCTTTATTTCCTTTGGAAACAGAAATTATGCAAACAGCTGATGTATCACCAAAAGATCAATTTCAGACCAGTTGAACAGAGGGCAAAGAAGGTTTTCAAGATAATGTTATATAGCATGTTCTGCAAACATAAGAATAAAGGGAGGGAAACAAGGGAACATTGTGAGTTTCCCTTTATATACTGACTCCTGTGACCAATTTCTCCATTCAAGTGCAGTAGTCCATACACCCATCCAGGGTACTCTGCAGGAGAGCAGTGAGAAAAAAACCTAGGGATTTTTTAAAAGTCCCAACCAGGAGACATGGATCTCTGTGAATCAGAGATGATAGGGTTATTCAGGCTTAGCATAGGCCTAAACTATGTACTACTTTGACCACATGTGGGCAGGCACTGTCAAGAAAATGATACAGATCTGTGGCAGTAACTTCTTTGGTTTGTAATCAGTAAATATGAGTATCTAAGACGTCACAAGAAACAGAGACAACTTTTAACTCTGTACACACAGGATGATCTAGATTCCTGTATTTGTGATTTGTATAGGCAAGTGGCGAGCTAGATCTCAGAATGGATTGTGTTTGTTGCCACGCTCTGTAGTTAATGCAGCAGGATAAGAAGGTGCATTTACTAAAATTTTGTTGTTGTTTTTTTTTAAAGCAAAACCCAGACAACTGGTACATAGCTTTGGCTTAAATTTTGAGGTTAATCTTACAAGGTTCTGAACTTTGGAAATGTCTGGTGTCCTGAGTTCTCACATGAAGCTGACAACACTTTGAGTCCCACTGTCCTGCACTTCTGGATCCTTTACTTGTTTAGGATCCAGATATTTGAGCTAAAACTTATTTCCTGTAGCTCAGCTGGAAAGAAATGATTGCTGGCAGCGCTTTGGTGGTTGCATTGTGTATACTAGGCAGAGGTCATACTGTTTGTTTTGCAGACACCATTATTTAAAAGGAGAGGTTTATTGTACATGGAGGAAGGTGTCCAGGAGTGTAGTAAAATGAAAAACAGTTCTAAATCAGTAGGATATTAAAAAAAAAAAAAAAGGATTGCAAATAGATACACTTAGAAAGCCATTTTTGTCTCGACAGTTGAGATTCCTGCCTTGCTTGAAGACCAGACTCAATCCAGCTGCACTTGGGCAAGATGAGCAAGTGCTCTGAGACAACAGAAAGCCTGAGATTTAGGAGAATCTTACTTTTGGTTGTTATGGGAGCAATGTCCCAAGTGCAGGTCCTCTTTCAGCCACCTCCTGCCTGTGGATGCTACCAGTTTCCCCTTTCCTTGCTATTTTCCCCTGCTTCTGTACATAACTTTACAATGAAACACATGACTGCATTTTTTGCATTATGCAATTCGCTGCCTGGCAGGACAGCGAGGTGATGTCTCATGAACCTGAAGAGGAGGCTGATCTCCACTTTGGAGATCTGGAAAGGATTTTCTGCATAGGTGAAATATTCAGCAGAAATTTTTATTTCTTTCCAGCTGGCAGCTTGATGTTTTCAGGGTTGAATTATGGTAGTTCTATTGTAGCAAGCTACAGTTCAAATGTCCAACTTCACCTCCTGCTGTTTGCCACTTCCCATGGAATGGTTGTGCTGCTGCGGGTGGTGTGGAACACAGAGAGGAAGCATTTCTGTCACACCACCACCACCACCTTGAGACATACTCAGTGTCTTGTCCTCTGATATTTTTCTTTTTTGTTTATTTGTGGGGCAGAATTAGTGTTGTATCCTGCAAAGTGGAAAGACAAAAAAAGAGGAGCAAAGGTCACTTGCAAAATGGATCACATTTGGTGTGTTACAATTCTATATTTCTTTTGAAAGAAGGTTTTTGTTGATCTCTTTATATGATTTTTTTTTTTTACCTGTTTTCTCTATGAGTGCACAAAAGTCACTGGCTGTCCCACTCACTGTCTAAAACATTCTAAGTAATAAAAGTGTTTCTTCAGTTCTTTGATTTTTACCTTTATACCTGCCCATCCTACTTGCAGCTGAATCGTCATACCTCTAGAGTCTTTCTAATAAGGTCCACATTTTGTGGCTATGCAAATGGTTTAGGATGTCCTAGTTCTCTGTCTTCACTGTTAAAATGGGAAAGGAGCAGCCTGGTGATCATTGTAAGCCAGCTGAAATATGAGCTTACTCAGAAATGGTGGTTAGTTTCCAGTTGGATCAGTTTTCTAGTCCTACTCCTGGTATTACACAAACACTAGAGCAGGCACAGGGAGGCAAAGAGGGACACTTGCAGGGAAGCTGGAGGTTGGTGCTCTTACCCTGCTCAGAAGCAGGACACGCTTAGATCAGTGCAGAGTGATCACGAAACTTCACCTGGTGCTGCAGTGCAGCATACTTCTATTCAGCATCTACAAATCTCTGTGCAGTGGACTATTTTCACTACAATTTTCACATATTGACTGCAGAATTTGTCGCAGTGGGAGAACTGTTTTGCAGATTGTCAGAAACTCCCAGCAGGGTAAAGTCAAGTACTAGGTTTAAAGAGGGTGTGAACAGGTTCCTGAAGTAAGTGGTGGGAAAGTGATGATGTTTGTCATGAGCTGCAGGATGTTGGTGGCAGTAGACAGCAAGATTTTTAAAACAGCAGTGTCAATTGTAGAACGGATGATTTGTTTCAAAGGTGGACAGTGGGTTGGAATTACATGTTGGACAGTGAAAAATTGCAATTCAGAGGAATGAGATGCTCTTACATGACTGCGGAGATTCACTTATTTGTTTGCTAAGTTGGATTTTGTAATGTTTAAAATGCAACAAAGAAAAATAGTGTAAAGCAGAAAATAAAATGCTTAACGGAATTCTTCCATCCACGTTCTTGCCATATGTTGCTTGAGTTCTTAACCCTGGAGAACAGTTGTGACTGGTAAACACTGCATTTAGAGAGCCATCTGTAAACAGCTTTGTAGATGGGATGGTGATACCGCATTATATTTGAACCTCCTCCCTTTTAGCTTCCTATAAAAATAAAACAAGCCCTTTTTTTCTGCATGAAATGTTGCATTTTCTAGTCAAAGATGAATCTTGTTATCTTGGTTTTGGTATTTGAGGTTGGTTAAACTGAGTGCTTCTGGCAGAATGTTTTTAAAATTTAGGCCTTTAGGTGGGTTTGTCACGTCTTTGTTTTTTACTTTGCATGTGTGGTTTCTCTTAGTGGGTTTCCTTCTTTTCTTGTTTTGTGGAAAGCCTTGTTTAATACTGAGGTTGCTTGAATAGTGAATTACAAATGAAATTTTCTAAAAAATAGGGTTTAAGGCAACGTTTTAATAACTCACTGTTGGAATGTCTTCCCGCAGGTCCCAGCAAGTGCTCTATACTCATTGTAGCTGCTTCTGGAGCTAATGAAATTTCCTGTTCATATCATTACCAGTCAAATATTGTGTAATGAGTACTGCAGTCGTTAACCAACCTTTATTTAGTGTGGTGCCTGGGAGTAATATACTGTGATACTTTCTTCATAATCTTTGTATTTTGTTTTATGTGTTATCTTTGCAAGTGAGAATTTTGTGTAATACAAAAATTCTGTAGCTTGCAGATGTACCATATATGAGGTAGAATTTTATATGGAAGCTGCAGGGAAAGGAGCAACATATTTGAAAGGAGTACAGGTCAAATGTGGAACAGGAGTCAACGAAAGTTGACGAGGTTAGCAGATGAACAGGGAAGCAGGCTTTCCATGTGTGCTGAAGTGTTTAGATCCTGCTGAAGTGCGCTTACTAATCTCATTAAAGTTTCAAAGGCTGTGCATTACTTGGATTTAAACGCGTGGCAGTTTGATTCAGTGGGATGTGAACTCCCAGTTATGTTCAGTTGAATGGCTCTACTATTTATCTTTGCTTTCTCTGCTACCCTCCAGATCATTTGTGCATAATAATGAAATATTCAGTTTCTTGTTACAGTATTTCTACTCTTGTCTGGATCTAGAAGCTGAGTGGCATGTCTTTGTTGCATACCCATGGAACATGGGTTTGTGTCTGGAGTTTTACTTTGCTTTGAGGGTTTACCTGCACATTCCACCTCCTCCACTCCTTTACCAGCCAAACAGCTGATGCAACTCTGCAAACTTTAGACAGGCCACCTGAGCAGTTAAACAGGTTCATTTTGGTTTCTATACATCCTGCCACATGCCAGCATGGAGATGGGAGGGAAGGAAGGTTGTAAATGTGTTGCAGTTTATCAAAGTAAACTTTAGACTTTCTGTCAAATGTCCACGAGTGGTAAGACGGAAAGAAAATATAGAAAAGGAGCTGCAATTTGGAAGGCAAGATCAAGTCTAAGACTCTTCTACAGAGGAATCAGAGGTAGGGTTGATAATCGTAATTGTTCAGCCCATAGAATTTTGTAATCTTTTTGCTTTCTTTTATAGCCTTAAGCATTGTGGGTTAAACTTCTTCTAGTGAATAGTGATCTTATCAGGTTAGTCAGTAATGGACAAGAAATTTTCAGCCTAAGTGGAAGCAGGACCATGGTCTTAAGTAATTAATGCTTTGCAGTGGTTCAGGTGTTGCCACAGTCAGTGGAGGATGATAAGTGAGTAATATCTCTGATAAATTAGAAGGTGATCTTTTGTCAAGTTGATATGAGTAGAGCAATCCACAAAATTTGCACTGGGAAAGTAGAATGTGTATGTTAAAACCAGGAACATTCTAGGAATACAATTTGTTTAATTCATTTACTTGCATCTATTTTGCCAGTCTGCTGGGTTTTGGTTTGGTTTGGTTTTTTTGGTTTTTTTGTTTGTTTGTTTTGCTCTTGTGCTAGTAGGTAACCCTAATCTGTCTCTGTACGTAGTCTGATATTTTCTAATACATGTGTATATATACATACCTAAAACCAAAATACAGTCTGACTCTAAAAGAGATCCATAAACCACTGAGGCCATGTTTAGGTTGAGAAGAGATTTGTTTCTCCTAAGATGTACGTGCATTGTGTATTGGATGCTGGGAGAATGTAACAAGAACTGAATAGACTTAGTGTACAATAGACAAAGTGATTCAAATAAGAATACCTTTTACTTTTTGCATTGATGTTTGGTGACTGTTTTCATTAATTCCTCTTTTCTTATGGCAATGTTATTTTGTGCATGTAATGCAGCCTTAGAGGAATTCCCTTGACAATGGTGATCTTTTTTTTTTTTAATTTAATATTTTATTCAAGCAAATGAAGCTGGTTCTAAGAGCATGAAAGAGACTATATGTAGTCATTCTACATAAACATGTGTAGAACATTGTTGACAGTATAGTGTGTGCATCAAAACCAATCAAAATACTTTTCCTTTTGTTGTCAACACAAGGTGAGAATTATCAAATGTGTGTTCCTTCTTTATTTGATGACATTTACCTAAGCTTTCATAACTGTAGATCTTAGATCACAGAAATCTTTCCATTTACCTGTAAAGAAAAAGACAAACAAATTAATGCATCCCAGTTTCTTAGAAGGGATATAATATAGTTTCTTCATTGTATGAATATTTCTCATAACCAGCTGTGTTTTTTAATGCATTTTCAGTTTTTCCTACTTCTCTTTGCAGCAAATGGTGATGGCCATTAAAGTGTCAAATGTTTGTCATAGAATCATAGAATCATAGAATGGTTAGGGTTGGAAAGGACCTTAAGATCATCAAGTTCCAACCCCCCTGCCATGGGCAGGGACACCTCACTCTAAACCATATCACCCAAAGCCTCATCCAACCTGGCTTTGAACACTGCCAGGGATGGAGCATTCACAACCTCCTTGGGCAACCTATTCCAGTGCCTCACCACCCTTACAAGAAAGAATTTCCTCCTTATATTCAATCTAAACTTCCCCTGTTTAAGTTTTAACCCATTACCTCTTGTGCTATCACTACAGTCCCTAATGAAGAGTCCATCCCCAGCATCCCTATATGCCCCCTTCAGATACTGGAAGGCTGCTATGAGGTCTCCACACAGCCTTCTCCAGGGGGCTGAACAGTCCCAACTTTCTCAGCCAATCTTCATATGAGCGGTGCTCCATTCCCCTGATCATTCTCGTGGCCCTCCTCTGGACTTGTTCCAACAGAACCATGTCCTTTTTATGTTGAGGACACCAGAACTGTACACAATACTCCAAGTGAGGTCTCACGAGAGCAGAATAAAGGGGCAGGATCACCTCCTTCGACCTGCTGGTCACGCTCCTTTTGATGCAGCCCAGCATACGGTTGGCTTTCTGGGCTGCAAGCGCACACTGCTGGCTCATGTTGATTTTCTCATCGACCAGCACCCCCAAGTCCTTCTCCGCAGGGCTGCTCTGAATCTCTTCTCTGCCCATCCTGTACTGTGTCTGGGATTGCCCTGACCCAGGTGTAGGACCTTGCACTTGGCATGGTTCAACTTCATAGGGTTGGCATCAGCCCACCTCACAAGTGTGTCAAGGTCCCTCTGGATGGCATTCCTTCCCTCCAGCGTATCAACTGAACCACACAGCTTGGTGTCATTGGCAAACTTGCTGAGGGCACACTCAATCCCACTGTCCATGTCAGCGACGAAGATGCTGAACAGGACTGGTCCCAACACCGATCCCTGAGGGACACCACTCGTTACTGGTCTCCAGCTGGATATTGAGCCTTTGACCACAACTCTTTGTCCTTGACCTAATTCTCCTTCCTGTCAAGTTTGCTGTTCTCTGAAATGCAGTAAATACCCAAAGTGTGGGTATCTGCATTTATATCCAGAGTCCACGTTTTTAAAGGTTTAATTTGTTTTGCTAGCTCAAAATGTTGCATTTTTATATGCATATTTTAGCTCTTGAATTAAACTGTGGTAATAAGCAAAGAAATGTTGTCTAAGCAAACAGGTGGTATTTGGAGCCACCCTATTTATCTATGACTCCTTGAGAGGAAAAGATTGACAGTGGCAAAACTGAGAAAAACAGAAGCCAACAGCTGTGAACGTTTCCATTCTTATTTAGTCATCTGAGCTCAGTTGTGCGAGTGCCTTTGAAGAAACAAGGAAAGAATAGCTGCATATGAACTGTGTGAGTTAATATATGGCATAGCATTCTGAGCAGAATTCGAAGCGGTGAAAACTTTCCTATTTTGTTAATTTGTAGAAATGAGATAATGTGTGTGTTTAATTCAAAATCTTTATCACTGTGCGAGGCAATGACAAAGAAATGGACCTCTGAGCTACCATCAGAATAGTTGTTTGAGGAGTACTCCTTCTCCAGGAGCTATTGGACATTGCATGCACATATGTACTTGTCTTTGGCTGGAGAATCTGGGGAATGGTTTTTATTGCATTGATTTTAAAGCATTTTCTTTTATGGATAACTGGTCAGCTTGTCCTTGGAAGATGTTTCACAGCCATTCTGTTGGGCTGAAGGAGAAGTGCTGTTGTGGTGGCTTTCCACTGGGATTTGATAGGAAGAGATGGGTAGTTTTGACCATTCATTTTTAAGGTGGTGCATCAAGTAATTTTTCTTCTAGATACAAATTACATCAAAGATTAGTGAGCAGTCAGAGTTGTTTTAGAAACCAGTAAAATTAAGTGGTACTACAGCAGGCATTAAGAACACAAAGTATAAGAATTTATGCTTTGTGTTGAGAACTTGTTTGAAAACTATGTTGTTTGCCCTTTCCCTAAAGATTTTTAAACCTGCTTGAAATTTACTTAATGTTTATTTTATTTTGTACTGTTTTCAGTCTTAGAATTAGCCTACATGCATGACAAAAAGATATATTTTGTGGTATACCAGCTGAAGCCAAAAGAAAAAGTGCAAAAGGTTAGGATATGATTAAAAGTTAGAAGTGAGAGCAAACATGTCTTAGGTGCCTGTCTCTTTTTCTGCATGTTTGCTTTAAGAACTGTTAATCATCCCAGTGAATGGCCTTAGGTGGTGGTGTGTTTGTGCAGCTAAGGGTGTGTGTTTTCTTTGTTAAGCAGTTCAGAAATGGTTCTTTAAATTATAAGGTTGCTATATTTGATTTGAATCATGCCAGATTTCAGCTGTAGGTTTTATTTTTGCAATTTCTCAAGCTTGCTTTTTCCATTTAGTTCTGCCCTTGTAAAGCTGTAATAAGTAAGCCATGGTTTCATGTATGGTGTAGTGTTTTTATCAGGTTCTAGAAAAAAAAATGTTCCAGGATTTGGCCAATATGATTTTTACCCAGAAGAAGCTTCTAAATCTGCTTGAAACGGTCATTTGGTAAACTTTGCTTAGTCTTGCTACCTCTTAGATATGTATGTATATATGTGTGTATGTAAGTAGATACAGGCATACATACATTTGTGTATATATATGCAGTCCGTCAAAATGTGCCCCTTCACCTGATCATGAAATCTAAGTAGTTCACAACAGTTTCTCTCTTTTAAAGATTACTCCGAACTTGGAGAGCTTCCACCCAGATCCCCATTGGAACCAGTGTGTGAAGATGGCCCCTTTGGGCCAGTGAAAGAAGAAAGGAAACGGACACCCCGTGAGCTTCGCGAGTTGTGGAAGAAAGCTATTATTCAGCAGATACTTCTTCTTAGAATGGAGAAAGAAAACCAGAAGTTACAAGGTTGGTGCACCCTACTGCAATAGAGGTTAACCTCTTCATTTGTTCTGTGGCCTTGGCAGTGGATTGGACCATGCCTTAATGAAATGTTTTAGGAACGTACAGTTTAACAGCATTTCTCTCAGGTCTCATTAGTGTAGGTGACGATTTACACTCATTTTTTCATCACTACATCTTATTATTTGTTTACTTGATCTGAACTGGTACTCTTAGTTTTACCACAGGCTGGTGTCAAGAAGCTCTGGCAAGGAATTCAGCACAATAATGTTCTGCATTTGCATCCATAGGTCATTGTCTGAGTATTGGTCATGGCAGTGTTCTGTTTGGCTGGTCTTGAAGTTCTCAAGGAGCTGGTTGTGGACTTGAAACTGTGGGTGCCTGCTGTAGTGTACAAATTGTGCAAGCAAGGCTTGCATGGAGTAGTAATTGTTTAGATCAGTCATAAAGATGATAAGGAGCTTGAGAAACTGTAACTTGCAGGGCATTTTTAACACAAATCTGTTGTGACGATTTTTGCATATAAAATGTAGCTGATTACGAATACATGTTTTATTGTGGCGGCTGCATACAGAACCATAAGTGATTGCGCTGGAGAGCTGCTCTTTTGAGGATGTGAAGGACAGGGAGAGAAATGTTTATCTGGCTGATTTTAGATGTCCAGGAAGGGAGTATGCACCTGGATCCTCAAGGGGGTGAGGTACCTGGCCTGAAAATGGCAATTCTTGTTTGTCTTTGTGAAAACTTGAGAAAGGATTGTCTTCCAGGAAGAACAACTGTGTAGACAAAGGGCCCAGCCATGTGAAAATATCAGTATGCCGAACATGAAGTCCTTCTTTCAACTCAGGCCAAGACTCCTGGCTGGAAGGAGAGAATTTATTTTGTCCTGTCACCTGAGTCCCTGATGAAGAGTCCTTCTCTGGCACCTTTCTAGGCCTCCAATGTCCAAGTTAAATTAATACGTTACAAATAGTAAACAATATTAACTGGTGTGTTCAATTTATCAGCTTCAGAAAACAATTTGCAGAACAGACGTCTGAAACTTGACTATGAAGAAATCACACCATGCTTAAAAGAGGTAACTTTGATTTGGGAAAAAATGCTGAGTACACCTGGAAGGTCAAAGATTAAATTTGACGTGGAAAAAATACACTCTGCTGTTGGGCAAGGTAAGCACAGTTTGCTATTCTGATTTGTGTAAATGCACTTAAATTGTGTTAGAAAATGAATAGCGTGACCTGTTAACCACTCCTTATAACCAGGTTCTTCCTAAAGCTGTTCTTCAGGCTGCTGACTAAAGGAGTGACAATGTTGGATATCTTCATGGTTATGCGTATGCAAGTAACAGCCCCTTTCAGCGGTAGCTGCAGTTCTGTTACTGGAATTACCAGACTTGGTATTCAGTTTTGAATTAAATTTGATTTTATAAATTAAAAGTTATCATTAAAGAAGAAAGCCTGGATAATGCCAAAGAAATGACTGTGTAAATAACTGAAGAAACTGCACTACTATATGGAAATTCTCTGTTCCAGCCTGGGTAGTATGCGTGTATATAAATAGTATACATGGGTATCTCTGTAGAACTGCCTTTCTTCTTTCAAATTCAGCAATGCATTGTACCTGCAAGCACCACCTACAGTCTTCCTCACAGCTGCAGGGCTGAGCAACCATCCCGTTTCCACTGTGTGAAAAATAATGTAACCTAAGGATGGTTTTAAATGTGCTACAAAATTAGAACATTTCAGTAATAACATTATTACTCAATGTTATTTATGCCATGGTTGGATCCAAAGGCATTATGCTGAGTGCTGTATGTAGCCAATGGGGAAGATAGCTACTCCAAGGAATTTCTTATAGTTCTAAACAAAGCTTTCCAATGTGCAATGGAAGTGTCAAGAATTCACCACTAGGAGAAGTTTACTATATGCAGTTATTCATCAAGTTAAATCAAATTGTCCATTTAAAATAGCTAGCACATCTATATTTCTAACAATACTAAATGCCCTAAGCACAAAGCACTGCAGAGTGAGGGAAACTCATCACAGGTTTCTCCCATTAACGTAGGTAAAGGGCTCTGTTGAGTCAGTGTGTGAGAGTGACAAAAACTTGTTTTCTGTTGATAGTCCAGTCATGCTGGCTTATGTTACAGTTCAAAATAAAATTAAAAAAACTCAGAATGGTGCAAAATAAATAGATAAATAAAGCACTGCATAGTGGATTGCTAATAAGTTGCACATACAAGTAGCCAGTTGGTTATCCCTAGCTCTTACATAGCTATTACGATGCTCTGCTCTCTAAAGCCCAGTTATGTCAGAGTTCTTAGAGTGATGTCAAATTTCATACATATGCAGAAATGAAAAATGCATTTAAATTGAGTTTAGGAAGTTCTCGTTTAGACCAAAACCATTACAATTAACGTGAGTAAGCAAGGCAAACAGGTAAGGATTGCAGGTTTCGGTTAGCATGGGGCTTAAATTAGGATAACAATATATAGAGAAAGAAGTTCAATCTTTAAAACATTTTTTACATGTAGAAGTCATTCAGCAAACCACTACAAATATACAAAAAAAACCTACAAATATAACACTTGCTTTCTGATTATCTGCTTTCTGTTGTAGTCTAGATCACATCTCATTTGTACTTGTTTATACTTTTGGTATGTGTGCATTCTACCGTCCTAAAACTTACTCCTAACAACACTGTCAGTGCTGTATTAGTGAAAACATTAATTAGTTCTATTGTAGTGCTCTACTGTGTACTTTACATGGGGAAAAAAAAGGGAGATAAGTATATAACTTTACTGAGACAAGTGTTGCAATTTTTGCTGCTTCTTCTAGTACTTCTCAGACTGCATGCAAGGGTAACCTTAGACTTAGGCAGCTCACCCTGTTTCTACTTTTAATCTCACCTATTAAGATAATGTCTCTTACTGGTTGAGGAAGTGTAAGGACTCTAGTTTGATCTGCTTCTGTGGTCTACTGGAGATAGCAGATACTAATCTAGCAGACAGGGATCTGCTTGCATATCTAGCAGATATGGATCTTCAGTTCCTCAATCCTGTTAGCTCAACTATAGCTGAACCCTGTGTAGAAGTGCAAATTAAGGTTTTAATGACTTTCTTCTCTCAGGAGTGCCACGTCACCACCGTGGGGAGATCTGGAAGTTTCTAGCAGAGCAATACCATCTTAAACATCAGTTTCCCAGTAAACAACAACCGAAGGACACACCTTATAAAGAGCTCCTAAAACAACTAACTTCTCAACAACATGCAATACTTATTGACCTAGGTAAGTACAGTAGTGGTTTGAAATTAAAATAAGGGGTTTGTGATTTCTGGAAAATAACTAGAAGAAAGTAAAACACAAAAAGCTTCTCACCATTTAGGAATAGGTTGTTGGTAAGAACTGCTTTTAATCTGGTGTGAGAACCATTACTTGACACCATTAGGAAAATCAAAATTTGCATTTCAAGCACAAAGTTCCTTTGCAACATGTGGTAATAAGAGGCTGCTAGATATAACCGTGATACATCTGTGTTTCATGTATTGACAGTGAACTCCACAGGCCCATGGAATACAAACTGTCAAGAAAGGAAGTCAGTATTTAAGTGCAGACTGTTGAATTACATGCTGTTTATTCCTGATGTCCAGTGTTTGCTGTCTCTGCTCAACACTTTTACTGTAAATAATGCAGAAGTTTTGCTTTTTTGCTTTTTTTTTGCCTATTTCAGTGGGTAGGTGCTAGCAGTTGGTATTTTTACTTGTATTAAAATAATTATGAAAAGATATTTTTAATAATTATTTTTATTTTTTTAAATAAGTCTCTTTTAAAGGCAGGTTATTCACATTGCTGAATTCTAAGCAGTAGCTGGCTCCTGACTCAGGGAGAATGAATCGATCTGTTGAGGCACATATAGTTCATTGAGTTTATCAGAGAGAGGATAGGAATCAAGGCTTTTAAATGTGAAATTTAGGTGGGCTTCAGACAGGCTTTTGGTCTTCTTGAGTAGTTTTCCATTTTCCCTCACATTTATTGGTCAAAGCTTAAAAAGTATTTTCTAGTGCTAGAAGGAAGCATGAGAAAGGAAATCTAAATGGAATTAAATGATTGTTTTAGGGTTGGAGCAGAAGAGTTTGCTTCAGATAATTGTAAAAGACAAATCTATGTATATCCTCCATCCGTTTAGTTCCGTTGCATGAGATTGTATTTCATTGATTGACTCTCGCCATTGCTAGATTAAGACAATAATAAAACCCAGGAACATTCAGTAAGACCAAGGCAGTATCCTCTGTAAGATGTGGATCGTTACTGTCTTTGGTTGCTGCTGCTCCCAGTCTCTATCAGTACCAGTGACCTCCTTGTCTCAGAAGCTCCCACAAGACAGCCATTTGTTTCGTAGACCACTCAGAGGTACTTTTTGGCATCTTCTCCATCTTCCCTCATGAAGGTGCTTCCCTTTTCTCCCCCAGGCAGCGCATGGCTGCTCCTCAGCTGGGTTAAGTAGTCTGTGGAATCTACTGCAGTCATTAAAATATGTCTAACATGACAGTAATTACTCAAATATATGTGATTGTTGGTTGGATGTTCACCCTGGCCAAAGCATTTGTATTGAATGCAAGCCATCTGATGCAAGTTTATAACACCTCACTGCTTTATGGCTAAATTGGAAGTTTTTACAGCTAATCTACAGGTTAACCTCATGAATATATAGTTGTGGATATTTTAAAAGATATTGTTTTTTCCTCCCTTGGATATTTTAATTCAGTTTATTGTCTGAGAAACCAGGAGCCGATGTTTTTCCAAGAAGATTCCAGCCTTTGTGTGTGGGATAATCCCACACTGAACTCAATGTTCATTATGCTCTTTCCTAATAAAGGAGAAAAATTAATAATGTCTTCCAGAGCATGGTAGAACTTACAGCAAGCTTTTGTTGTAGGGTTTGTGGTTTGGGTCTGAGGAGTTGTGTGGAACAATTTAAGAGGTTCCCTAATCACTATGTTTGATTAAAGGGGGAAGTTATGTGCTGCATATAAGCAAATGTCATGATAGAATGATAAAAAATATGGGAAAATCTGTACTTGGTTTGACCTCAGTGATTAAAACCTCTTGTATTATTTTCACTTATATCTTTTCTGTGAAGAAGTAATATGGAACAGTCCTATCATGCTTCTGCTCTTTATAATTACCCATATAGTTTGAGTATCCTTCATTGTAAATGGAAGGCTATACCGTCTTTCTTCCACATGGAAGAATTGTTTGATGAGGGAGGGATCACCTAGACCCAGAACTGTCAGGGGCACCTATTTCTTAAGAACCCAATGTGCAGGCAATCTGCTGCAGATACTGAACTGTGAGATTGGTCAAGTTTAGATAGTGACCTAAGCTTTATATGGTAAATAAGAATATTTTCTACTTTTGTGGGGTTTTTTTGCAACACTTGGTAAAGTGTGTCAAAATACCAAGGTAGTGCATGCAAAACAAGAATCTAGTGGGACAGGCACGTTTCTGCAGAAACTGGTGGGTAGTTGACGTGGGGAGGTTGATGATCGATGACACTTTCACTTTGCCATACTTGAAAGGCCTGTCAGGTTTCAACTTGGCACTACGAAAGTAACACTCCAAGGAATCTTGTTGCCAACCAGGAATAGGCAGCTGCGATGTAAGTAAATTATTGCCCTACAGACTTTGTCACACCAGTTCTAGGAATTCCCCTGATCACATAGCAACAGAAGCAGTCTTTAGTTTTTGAGACATTTATGTGAAACGAGTGATCATTCTCTAGCAAGTACCTGTTGATCCAAGTCAGCATATGTGATGTTGATACCACTGGCAGGGAACGTTGTGATTCTGTCACACTGGAGTGCCTCAGTAAGTGGTAAACACTTTTGTGCTGGGTTAGTGAATTGAACAACTTCATCAGAGGAGAGAGGTAGGTGTGGGACAGCTCCTGGCCAGGAGGGAGTACTGTCAGAGTTTGGTTGGCTCACACTGCAGACTGGGGCTTGCTGGCTCAGCAAGCTGTTCATATTTTCTGCCTGGTTCTGCACACAAATACTTTCTTATCTTAACCATGTGCTCTGCTTGTAGAAACAAATGACTGCATGTGCTCGCAAATGGGTAACTTCATGGTGGTTTTCCTGCAAAGTATTTTTCTGAGGGAGCTATTTGCCAGCTCATTAGCTCAGGGAAGGATTGGGCTCTATATTTTAGTAAGATGAAATCAGGAAGCCGAAGAATTCCTAGTTTCCTAGTGGTTCACATTGAAATAGAATAGTGCTGCACAGTAACAGACAGCATAACTGGATAGGCAGCTAGAAGGAATTTGCATGTTCTGACTTGTGTTGCTTCAGGCTATCAGAAGTGCTTTCTCTTAAATCTTTAAGAATCCTTCTGAAAGCATGCACTTCTGCCTTGAGAGAAAATCCTATGTTCTAGCAACATGTGGTTATAATATTTAAAAAAGCTTTCCCAAATTCAGCTAAAGAGATCTAGCTAATGCAGTATGAACCAAAGCTGTAATACCTTTCACTTAGTTGAATCAATGCATCTTCAGCTGTAAATTGTGCTTCCTGGGAATGAGGACAGCAGTGTGCATCTGAATGCAAAGGTAAGGTACAAAAGCCACTTTCCTGGCCCAGTTTACATGTCGCAGTGCTATTTCATTATGTGGACAACAGCAAAGCCACAATTCCCTGAAGACTTTTTTGTGTATTTCCTTAGTGGCCCCACCTGCAGAACCGCAGCAGTCACTGGGAATTTCAGGTCCTGAAAACCAAAGTCATGTTCAATGAATTATTTAATTTCTCAGTAAGGTAAACTGACTTCCAGATGCTGTTGGTGTACAAAACGCATCACTGAGTGTTTGCAGAACATAGAAAATTATGGTGGGTTTTATTACATTTCAAAAATAAAGTAGTTACTTTCTCATTCTGGCAGTCTTGGTGTATCACAATTCGTTTAGAGTCCTTAGAGTTGTTTGCTCCTAAGTGAAAGCTAAAATTCTTAAGTCATCACCAGAGCACTCGGAAACAAAACAGCTTCTGAGTTTAGCAGTTCTGCTTCTCCTTGATTTGCTGTCTTTTAGAACTTCTTTGCATTTTTATTCTTGCTCAGTTTGTAACTTTTCCTCATGACTTACATGAAGGGAGCCTTGCTGTGAGTGAGGCCGTACGGGTCTGCCACAAGACCATGCTGTAATAACTTGTCATTCAGGGAGAGGCTTCCTTTGCAAAGGAACACAAGCTCCTTCTCATTTGGAAGACAGAAATAGTTCTGTTAACATTCAACTCTTGTGACAGCCTGGCCAGGGGAGATCTGCTTAGGAACTGAATGCCAGTGTCCCATGTGACAGGCTAGAGTAGCTACCAAATGGCAGAAGGACTCTGCCCCAGGCTTTGTCTTCCTGAAACAGGAGCTCTGATATTATCTAGCAGCACAACAGCATTCCTGGAGCTAAAGGGTGGGGTGATATTTAACAAGTGTGCAACTGAAAACCAAGCTTCCCTTAATACTAGAACAAAAGAAGTATTCAAATTTCTTCTCCACTGAGGTATTTCAGAGGGGAAATCTGAAGGGGGAAATTTTTTTCCTAAAATTTTAAATGCTGCCTTTTGAAAAAGTTTTTGGAAAAAAAAAAATCTGTAAAAGTTAAGCCTTTAATGTCTCCGTTCACAGGATCACAGGGTGGTTGAGGCTGGAAGGCAGCACTTGGTATTATCTAGTTCCCTCTCAAAATGAGGTCATCTAAAACGGGTTGCGCAGGGCCATGGTCTCTCAGGTTTTGAATATGTCCATAGGTGAAGATTTTGCAACCTAGAAAAATAAATAGATTTTTTTTTTCTTATGTTAGGTGAATTTCCTGTGTTTTGCTTTGTGCCCAGTGCCTCTTGTCCTGTCAGCGGGCACTACTGAGAAGAGCCTGGCTCCCTCATCTTCATTTCCCCATGTTATTTGTGCATAGTAAAAGATCCCCCTGAGCCTTTTATTTTCCAGGTTGAATTGTCCCAGGTGTCTCAGCCTTTCTTCATAGGAAAGATGCTCTAGTTGCTTCATCATCTTAGTGACTCTTTGCTGGATTTTCTCCAGTATGTCCATATCTGTCTTGCAGTTGGGAGCCCAGAACTGGATACAGCACTCCAGGTGTAGCTTCACAGTGCTGAGTACAGAGCGCCTCCCTCAAGCTGCTGGTAGTGCTCCTCCTGATGCAGTCCAGGATACCATTAGCCGCCTTTGCTGCAAGGGCTCACATTCAACTTGGTGACCACCAAGTTAATTTTCTGAGAAGCTGCTTTCCAGATGGGTGCCTAATAGCATGTACTGGTAGCTAACCCCATGTAAAAGGGGATTTTTCTGCCAGGTTAGTGAATGGGATGAGCTCATGGAAGACTCTGAGCTTCATGCTGTAGGAAAGAAGGAAGGACACATAAGACTGGGAGGGACACAGGCAAGGAGGGTGGGGGGAAGAGACACATTTACTAGGGAAAAAAGAAAGGGAAGAGGCCCCAGCCTAGAGAACTCAGGTCTTCTAAGTCTGTGCCTGGATCCTAATAGTTGTTTAAAAGGTAATACTTTAATCAAGAGGACTGGGTTACTCATCAAGCCACTGAAGACTAGAGTCTCTCACTATTGTAAGCAACCCTATAAGCCCTTTAACAAACTGATCAAGGGCTAGTCTTAAGAACTAGTTCCTCAGCTGCTCCAGACAAAATACTGTCCCCACCCCTGGCGGTTTTTAAGTTAATTTTCAACTACTGTAACAAAATGGTAGTAGAGCATAAGAATCAATTGTTTGGTATTGTTAACTTTTTTACAGTCTTCCTGGGGATGATTTCAGAATTGACCTTTCAAGAGGATCTACCTTTTTGAAAGACTGCTTAATTTGATAACATGGCAAAGGTTTTTTGATGCTTTTTTGTTAGGGGTTGGTTGTTTGGGTTTTTTTTCGGGGGGAGGGGTTATTATTATTATTTTTATTTTTTAATTTAAGGCACCATCTTTGGTTGTTTTCACAGGACGCACATTTCCAACACATCCGTACTTCTCAGCACAGCTGGGAGCTGGGCAGCTGTCACTCTACAATATTTTGAAGGCCTATTCACTTCTGGACCAGGAAGTAGGATATTGCCAGGGCCTTAGTTTTGTAGCAGGAGTCCTATTACTTCATATGAGTGAAGAAGATGCTTTTAAAATGCTGAAGTTTCTCATGTTTGATGTGGGCCTGAGAAAACAGTATCGTCCTGACATGACAATTTTACAGGTATGATTTAAATTCTTCTAATGAAAGGATGCTAATGTTAAACCATAATAATGCAGTACAGCTAAGATTGTCAAAATCTGGACTTGAACTTAAATTCACCTCTCAGAAATGAGGAAAGATAATCTGTGAACAGAATACATCATGTAAAATGCATTAGTTTCAATAAAAAGACTACTAGGCAAAAACATAAATAGGAAGAATTCTTTTACGTGCCGTATGAGGTTCAAATGATCCTGCAAATGAGCATGTCCGAGGCTCACAGGTGACCCATCCTGGGTCTTTTAAATGGCTTCTATTTCTTTTCTTCAATCCATCCAAACACTAATTGACAAATACCTTTCACTGTTCCTAGTAAGTATGAAACACAGATGTTGCTACATCTAAAAATGTGTTTATCTTTACTCTCTTTGTTCTTATTCCCTGCAGATCCAGATGTATCAACTGTCTCGACTTCTTCATGACTACCATCGAGATCTCTATAACCACCTAGAGGAACATGAGATTGGCCCCAGCCTCTATGCTGCTCCCTGGTTTCTCACCATGTTTGCCTCCCAGTTTCCCCTTGGATTTGTAGCCAGAGTGTTTGGTAAATCTTCATAAACCCCTCTATCTGTTCTTTCTGAAGTTTTATATTTGGAATCCTGTTATTTGGAACAGCATTATTACCCAACCTGATTCAGAAAGCCAGGAGAAATATTTTACTTACTATTGATGAACAGAAGAGCAACAGAGGTCATCTTTTGGAACATGTAGTTTTTATAGTAAAATGGAAAGAGAGAGGAGGAAAGCATATGTCATTCCCAAACTGTTCTGTCTTTCCATCCTCATTGTTAGCTTTTCCCACCCTGTAATCACTTGTAGAGGGGATGTAAACTTTGATGCCATGAAGGCATGGTGTTACAACAGTGGCACTTCAACACCACGATTAGTTTTAAGCTGAAAAGAGATGTAACAAAGGTATCATCTGAGAACTATATTAATCTGCTTCATTGTCTTTGTCTCCAACAGTGTCAGTGGAAAATTATATTAAGGGTTATGTTTTTAAACACACACAGAGGTGGCCCTTGCAGTTTAAACATGGACTTATGCTACCGAAACATAGTCTTTTAAACTAGTGTTTCTTTTCCTTACAATTTTAGCCTGACTGATAATTTCACTTCCAAAAATGTTTGAAAGCATAAGTTTAGGCTCTAAAATGTAGGCTCCTAACAAATTTAGGCTCTAAAGTCACTTCTGTTACTTATTTTTTAAATCTACAAAAGTAAAGTTCTCTTTTTTCTTTTTTTTTTTTTGTTTTGTTTTTGTTAATTAAATTCCAGTTAAGAATTTATCTTGATGCTGTGTTATGGATTTAGATTTTATAGATTGTTTGGTATTTGAAAAGATACTAAATATAGTCTTGTCTACCACAGTAACAAATAATGAATTATAGATTCCAAGAACCACCACCAAGAATCCTTTCCTGTTTCTGTTAAAGGACATGCCAAAAGTAGTGCTGTAAGAGATCATAGTGAAAAGGATGGTGTATAGCTAAGCAGATCTATGTGTCTGTGATTAGCATCTTAACTCCAGGGAAAACAGCCCTTTTTTTTTTTTTCCTGGAACAGTTCAAAGTAGGCTAAAGGACATCAATAACTATCTAGTTGATGGTAATAATTGTTAGGAATTAAATCAAGTGCTGCATGCAAGTGTCATATACTGAGTTTATAATCTAATCAGTTCATCTTTCAGTTCTTCTTACTCATAGTATTGTACATGATAAGAACAGTCTTTGACTTGGACAGTTGACTGCAGTGGAGGTATTAAAGTGCCTTGTGTCTCCAGTATATTTGGATTTCTGCCTTAATACATGGATTAGTATTTTATCTGTCAGTGGAGGATTGTAAGGCTTTAGCAAGCAAAGATTTTACACTGGAATAGAAAGCATAGATGCATGATCTTCACAGGACTGATTTTAGGTCAGAAACAGAAAAACATGTGTGACTGAAACTGTAACCTCTTAAGAATACCTATTTTTTTTCTTTTTTTTTTTTTTTTTTTTTAGACAGTCCATCACGACCAACACTTGCAGTTTTTAATGTTTCAAAGCATTTAGTGATTTCCTTAAAACAGTGTTTACTGGAATTGTGTAGGTCAAGAAATTGGACATTTTTTTGCATTAGAAAGCAAGATCTCTTCACCCATGATGAAGATTGAAACACAAATATAAACCTGAAAAAGGCTATAGCTGTCAGTTTGCTAGCAGCTGTCGTTAGCAGCATGGCAAGTTAGGATCCAACCAGTTCTGACCCATGTGTTCACACACTTTTGCAGAACATAAATACGTTTTTGTTGCTAGAACCCTTGGGATGAAAGAACGTTGCCTTTTAATGTTGAAGTAACTCATCTGTAGTTTACCAAGGCTGTAAAATCGCTCTGTCGTTTTCTAACGTGGTATCTCTAAACCCTTGATATTGGAAGCCCCACTGCTGTTTAACAAGATAATTGTTATAGACCACTTTCTTTAGATTTCCATACAGTATAGTTTCTGCAAGCATTTTACAAAGCAGTATGTGAAAGAAATGGGCCAGAAAGAGGTTGACCCAAAGACTGTTTAAGGAGTCCAATAGTAAAACTTCTTTTAAATTTTTAATTATCTATCCAAGCTTTCAATACTTCTCCTAAGTGGGATCTAATGAAAGTGCAGCATTAGCAAAGGTGTGTTCTTTAATAATCAGATTTACTTATTAATGGAGGAGCCTTGGTGGAATAGTGTATATTATTTCAAGATTGTAGATAAAACTTGGGTTTTTTTTAATGCCGGAGGCTGCCAGTGATGCTGACATTGATTTGGGTACCTTCACTGCTGTTGGCTGGCAGCCCACTTAACGGGAAGCATGGGGAGTGGATAACAAATAGGTCTTTGTTAAGTCTTTGCTGTTTTAAATCAGAGAGACATTTCAGCTGTGTATTACCATCTCAGCTCATACAGACATTCATTAACAACTTGTAGATCAACTCAAGGTGACCTATGTGACTTTCTGGGTGAGGTGCTGAATAAAAAATGTGTTATTTTCAGCTCTGTTTTTTCAGTTTGTGTTTCTTAGATGTTCTTCAGCATTTCCTGTCCTAATATAAAGCCTTCTCTATAAAGCGTTTTCCCATAGCTTTCAGTTTCAGTAGAGAATTGAGGCTCTGTTACCACTTTTCAATCATTCTTGACTTTGGACTTGTCATTGAATCAGACTTGAAAAATTTTATACCACTTTTAGGACAAATGGTGGCAAAGTGCAAGATTTATGGTTAGTTATTACTTTTGCTTTTCTTTCTCAGAGAGAAAGAGGGAGAAGTGAAATGAGTTATGACTTCAACATTATAACCAGAAAAGCACAAGGGGAAATTTCATTCTGATACAAACTTGAAAAGAGAGTTGATTTTACTCTTTTTCCAGTAAGAAGGAAGTTAGCCAGAGTTTTCAGATGTTCTTTACTACATCAGATACACCTGTAGTTTTTCTAGCAGTTGTTTTTCTTACTGTGTGGCAGAGCTTGTTTCTTTTTTCAGTCTCCATTATTCTTTCTTTTTTTTTATCATGAAGACAAACTGTTTGGTGTCTTTGTTTTACTTCGTAAGTAGTTGCGATTTCATTCACAGCTTCAAATATAAAGAATGGAAAGAGCAAGAGAGAAGCCCTTTAAAAATAAAAATCTATTTAGGAAATACAGAATAAACCCAGAGTATCTTCTCTTCCTTTTTCCACCTCCATTAGTATTGTTTCATATGTTAGATGCTTTTGCCGGCAGTGAGTCTGTCAGAAAAAAACACCTGAGCAGATCCTGAGTTATAATAGCGGGAAAGTAAATGCTGGGCAATGCTGTCTATCCTGTGGACAGGTGTGTTTGTGAAGATGGGTTTCTTGTCTGATGCTTTCATTACAGTCTTCTGTTTCTTTCCTCTATGAAGACACAGGCCACTTGTAAAGGAAAAGAAAGGATGTTGCATTGAAAGGTCACTATATACTGTAGTTTCAGCGTGCTTGTACATATATCAGATGCTGTTATTGCAGGGTCACAGGCAATATTGACACTTAAGCTGTATTACTAAGATTTCAGGATACTTCTTAATGTAATTTTTAAAATATTAATGTAAGTGGTTGAAACACGTACTAAAAATAAGCACATGCACATGAAACCTGAGGCTGCTGGAAGGTGTGCATTTAGCCTTATCTGCTCAGTGTCCTGGCTTCAGCTGGGCTTAAACCACAACACTGAGATTTTGTAGCTTTCTCCACCAGAAAACAGAATTTCAGATCTTCGGTTGTGTCTTCAGGTGTATTTTTTGCCTCTTTTATTAGGGTTTTTAAATGGCATTGGGATTTGAATCTATTCAAATTCAGATTCCTGTGAGCATCTCAAAAGAAATTACATGCACAAAAAATGGTGACATTGGCAAACCTGGTTTATTGTGTACTTAGCTTAAATTTGAATTGGATTTTTTTGAAAAAAAACTTGCTAAACAAATTGAAATTTGCTATTCCTGGTAATAATCTTGACCCTGCAAAACTTCTAAAGCCAAGGCCACAGTAATTAAAGCACAGTATTTAGCCTCCAGGTCAGTCCTATGAGAAGTTGTTGTCTTTGGACATTTTACTGGTTTAATATTCTTGTCAAAAGATGTGTTTGCTTTATGTACTTTCTTTTTTCTTTGTTTTCACAGATATGCTCTTTCTTCAAGGATCAGAGGCTATATTTAAAGTGGCTTTAAGCCTTTTAGGAAGCCACAAGCCGTTGATTCTGCAGCATGAGAACCTAGAAACTATTGTTGATTTTATTAAAAGCACTCTCCCCAACTTGGGTTTGGTACAGATGGAAAAGACCATTAGTCAGGTATGAAAAGATATGAACATATAAGAAGTATGCAAAGGAATGCTCTTTTTCACAAGTTCTTGACAGAAAAACCGCAAGTGTCTTGTGTTACTTTGAGCTGCTAATCCTGTTATTGTAGTTCTGAAGATTGAAACCTTTTGGAAGCATATGGCTCAGGTAATACCTCTGTATTCATACATCTACATGTTGGTTATGGTCACTTTATGAAGCTTTTAATGAAAATGAGTTTTTTTAAGTGTGTGACTCTGTTATCGGCAGGAGTATTACAGCCCATACACTGTGCATTCTACAAAACAGTGGGCTAAAAGCCTTCTGAGTTTTCCTGTCTCCAAAGAGTCTTGCTCTCCAAATCTCATTTCAGAAGCAAAAGCTGACGTACAAGAGCTTCACAGATGTTGACTTTACTTGATGAAATTGGGAGTCCCTCCCTACACTGACTTTGTCTATACTGGCTTTTATGGTGTTGGCTCAAGTATGTTACAACAGTGCCTTTGTATTCCTGCCAGGAGTACGTGGGGTAGTGCAGTCTCTCGCAGTCACAGTGACTCTAGACAGCAAAAACTGGGAATCCTTGCTATACTATTTTTAAATGGCAGACAAGGAAGATGATGCAGTATTGCTAACCTGCCAGAAGAACCCAGAAGAGAACTGTGGAATTTGATAAAATCACAGATTATTGCAATTAAGGCTTGCCTTTTTAGAAACCTCAACTGTTACACTTCACATCTAATTTGCAGCAGACAAAGAGATGATGGGGTTTGTTTTTCAGAAGGCCTTTTGTTGTCTAAAACATGGGGGGCAGGGAGCACTGTGCAGAACTACAAATGCCTGCTACTCACTACGGGCAGCAGATGTGCAAAGCCTGTGGCTTGGTAAAGAAAGCAGGCAGCTTGCAAGGGGTTCCTTTCTGTTCCCTGGCAGCAAAGCTTCTGGGGGACATTAATTAGACATGAATTAGGATCAGGAAAATTGCTTCTAGTGCTCATTGTCAAAGGAAGGAGTAGAGAGCTAGGAAGTCTTTACATGGGGAAGGAAAGCAAGTGATATCTAGGGAGCGAAGGCCATTGTGTGTTGTCTGCTAGGCTGAAAGCATGGAGTGTACAACTCTGCAGAGACTTGCAGTACTTAGGCAGGCGATATGCAGAAAACCATTGGCTCTGAGCAGAAGGATACTCTGTTTAGGCAGCTCTGTAAATTTAAAGTGGTCAGTGAGCTGAAGGGAGAGCAGTTCCTCCTCTGATCAGAAGAAAGCCCATTGTCTGACCAGCCCTGCAGTCCATACACAGCTCCTGGCCTAATCCCCATTCTCCTTAGGCCTCTGCAGGGTGGCTTTTGATTTACATGCACTAACGTGCCTTCCGTTAGCTAGTTTTCATGTCAAGCTTTTGATTTGCATCATGTTTCCCCTCCTTCAGATTTGATACTTTGGGTATGACAGCAGGGATTTCCCCCACATCTCAAGAGCACAGGGGCCAGAAGTGGCAGAGGTCAGATGAAAAGAACTGGCATTCTACCCTGCTGACTTGCACTGTTAGCTTTACTGAAATGTCAGCAGTGTCCTCCAGAGATGCGCAGACCTATAGAAAATGAAAGATCCATATGTTTAACCAAACTCAAAATTGTGTTTCAGCCTTCTGTACTTAGATGCTCAGTATGTGTGTTTCTGCTGGTATAAAATTATGAGGTAATTTTTTTATAGCATATGTAGCAGGTGTCAGAAACAATTCATAAACTGGTATTTTCTTTAGCCAAGAAAGCTTTGTAGACAAAGCAGATAAAATAGATAATAACTATTACTATTTCAAGAGGTATTAAAGATAGGATTTGGTATTTGACTCATTTCCAAAAAGAGTAAAGTACAAGAGGTTTAAAAATAATGAATAACCCCTGAACTTGTATTTTTGGGCTATTTTCCACATGCGTTTTTAAATCAACTTTAGTTCCTGTTATGTTCTTTGATTAGCACACTTGGCCTTTTAATTTACCACCTTCTTCAGTGCTTTCAGAGGAGATAGCTAGCACAGGGACAGCAGAGACATATTTTTTTAATAATTTGAAGGCAGGTGTTTGCCAAAACCTAGAAAAAGGAAAATACAATAGCAATGGTTTTTATTTGGATCACTCTGCACCTCAATTTATTTATCTCCTTTTATAATAAAAGGTTTTCTTAATATTCATGTGTAAGGCTGAGCGCTCATTTTGGTGATTCTTATTTAGCAATAATAGAAATCTACTTTGACATTACATAACGTGTCTGTTACGTGTATTAGTGTAAGGACAGATTAGTTCATTTTCAGTCTCTAGGAATACTGTAAAATCATAAATAAACATAGCAGTGTTTACTGTTTCTCCTTTAAAGCTTTCATTCTACTTAGCCTTACACTTGTCCACATGGCACATGGGTGTGGACCACAGTTTTCTAAAATTACATCTAATTCTGAGTATGTCTAGGAAGGTTTATGCCACACTCAGATGTATTAAATTTAAATGACATTTTTAGTGAAGTTTTTAAGTAGATCTAATTCCAATGTATTGCACTCTACTGCCTCAGTCTTGCCGTGTGAATGACAAAAATAGTCTGGTTTTTGTACACAGGGATTAGATATCTAAGTCTAGATCCATGGATTTCAAAACATTGAATGATTTTGATCTGCACAGCACCTAATATTATTTTTGTATACAACAGGTGTTTGAAATGGATATTGCCAAGCAGTTGCAAGCTTATGAAGTTGAGTATCATGTGCTTCAGGATGAGCTTATAGATTCTTCTTTAAATGACAACCAGAGACTGGATAAATTAGAAAAAGCGAACAGTAGCTTGCGCAAACAAAACTTTGATCTCCTGGAAGAACTGCAGGTACAATTTATATTTCATAATTAACATTCTAATTTTTCTACCTTTACAGAAGGGATTGTCGTACACTAGAGCACAGGAGAGATTGGCGTTTGGTCTGTTGACTTTAAAAGCATAGCCACTAGCAGTTATATTTAATTCTGTTTTTAAAGCTTAAATGCAGAAGAAGTTGAGAGGGGTGGATAGAACATGTGCTTATAATTAGTGAAAAGTTGAATCACCACACTGTTTCTTCTCTTGCAGTTAAAATTGTACCTCTAGAAGATGACTAAAAATACACAAAGTGCTTTCTCAACTTTGTTTTTGTTTTCAGCAGGGATACTAGATGGGAAAGCTGATGCCAGTGTCACAGTTTAGAGATACATCAGATATGGGACACACTGTCTATAAAGACATACTGCTTCTTACAAGATTTTTTTTTAAAACTGTTGCCCAGATTGTTTAGACAATACGTGAAATAGTAATTTCAAATATATGCTTAGTGCCTGATCAGTATGCAGCTGTTTCAGAGGCAGGACGCCTGGTCTCTAGGGGTTATTCTTTGCTTAACTGTTTAAGAAGTCAGAGTTTTGGCTGCTTTATAATAGGATGTTTGTTATAAAACTTTTGACTATGATTTTAGTTTGAAGAAAGGGACTTCAGGAGTAAGAAGAAGAAATTTCAAGCCTCTTGATTAATGGTAGAGGCATAGACTTTTTAAGATAATAGGGGAGGGGAAGGAGTTTGGGTTTCTCAGCCATTGGTCCAGTATCATGACTAAAGCTAGGCAAGTGTGATTAGACTTAGATTGCCTCTCCTAACAAAAATTTGCTTAAGCTGTAAATTCTGATCCTGTGAGATCTGAACCTGTTTTGGGTACTAAGATGAGCCTTAGAGAAGCCAGGAGAAGAGATACTCCTCTGCAAGATATTTTGATATCTTGCCAGGCACATGGGCAAGGAAACTGTTGACTGTAGCATGGAGGGAGAGGGATTTCTGGGATGAGATTCCAGATGGAATATCCTATACATAGCTACATCAGGGGATCTTCTACTCCCTTCTGTCCCTAAGGACTCTGCAGCCCTAAGCATTTTTTTACAAAGCTCGTTTCCACCTGTGTGCTGCCAAGTCAGCACCCAACATCGTAGGGGGGAACTTAACCCTAGTGTTGGAACAGTCCCTTTGTCTTGCATGTGGGGCTTCATCACCCTTCGTTTCCTATAGGGAAAGGTCCTCCATTGATGATGTGCATAAACACAGTGCATAACCAAACAAAGTGCATAACCAAACAATGGGTGCCATGGTTTGTCAATATCTTTCCCCCAAAGGCTGAACTTGTAAACCCAACACAATTACATGAAGAGCAGTGAGCTCATCAGAAGGGCAAATACTTCCCTGAAAGCCAGGACCACCATATTGTCTCCAAATGTTATTCAGTGATGAAACTTCAAAACAGATCTCTGCTTTTGTCAACGTAGCTCAGCTACAAATCTCACATTATGAGATTGGATGATCTAATACTTTGATTTGCAATGAAGAACAGCCTTTTGAAGGAGAATTTTTGGAATTTTTCATTATGTGTTTTCTGTTTCCATATTGCTCTAAATCCACTCTTTCCCCTTCACCTCCAAAGCTGGACTAAATGTTGAGATGACATGAGGATGGGTTGTCTTTGCTTTGCAAAGCATGTGCAATTCAACAAACATGGTTGGCTGAGATGGCTTCCTAATAGGCTCATACAGAAGCTTATCTTAGCCTGCAGGTTTTTAGTATATAATTTGCCGACTTAGTAACACTCTGATTTCATTACTTTGCATTGTTTTCTGAGTCTAATTGTGAGCTAATCAAAGCAATCAAGTTGAGAGAGGGAAGTTTCTTGTTACAGGCAACAGTAGTTTCTTATTGTAGTCTAAAGTACACAGATCTAGTAACATTCATACTTCCATTTACCTTTGCAATTTTTCATTTGGAAATTACTTTGTATGTATTAATGTATCTCAAAAATATTTTAAAGTCATTTTCACTTATTAATGAATTTCCCCTTTCTTCTTTTTTCCTTTCCCTTTCTTCCTCTCTTCCTTTCCTTTTACTGTGAAAGGTGGCCAATGGAAAGATCCAAAACCTTGAAGCCACAGTAGAGCTTTTATTGACCAGTGAAGGCAAATTGAAGCAGTCCATTCTCATGCTTGAACAGGAGCGAGCAGCTTTGTTGAAAACAGTGGAAGAGATGCAGAAAAAGATTGGTGATACAGACGGGAAGCCTCTGCTTAGTAGACAAGGACATATGGTTGCTGACTGACATTCACAGTAGTAATGGAGCAGAGAAGCTGAGCAAGAAACAAAGGGAAGAACTGGGTCTTTCTGTCATGATCCGTGGGGATTTGACATTATCATTTTCATTGTACATGCCTTACTCTGTAGCAAAGCAAGGTATAGGCATGGTGGCTTCCTGTACCAGAGAAGCTGGTTTCTCATGGAGAAGGCTCGCTCTTAGTATGCAGAAATACAGAAAGATACCACGTAATAATAAGCAGGAGAAGCTTAATAGCACGTGCAGTCATACACAATATGCTGTAAAGATGTTATGGACTTTTCCATAAGTGCTTTTAAACCTAAGTGCTTTGTGTTTGTCACAGATTTTGTTTGTGTGTAGATCACCACCATTGTTAAATGCGCACCCTTTAGAAGGCCCATTGAAGAAATATGGCAATGTAAAGCCTTTGAATGAATGACTGCCCCATTGCAGCTATGCAGCGGTAACATTTACAGTTTTGTGATTGGACTGGAGATACTTTTGACAGTGTAATTCCCCTACAGCTTGACTGGGTTCTGTTAATTATGCTGTTTGCGCTTCAGAAAACTGCTTCCTGATGCTTGAAGGTGCCAATCCATTGGACTTCAGAGAGCTGGATTTCATCATATATAACTATGCATAAGTGGAGAGCTGCCATCTGTTTTCACATTGGTTTAGTATATTTTTTGTTTATCAACCATTAATTTAGTATGTTGTTAGTTGGCATTATCTGATAAACATACTGTATATAGTAACTGTATTATGCTTAAAAAATACACTGACATTGGTTTGGTGAAGCCTGTGACTTTTGCGACATCATCCAAGGATTTATATTCATACTCTACAAATTTCATCTTATTTATTTCTGATCTGAAATGTGATGTAGGACAACCTTTTCCTGGGAAACTAATGCCCACTGTCATGTTGTTTTTTCCTTTATTCAGGCATTTCAAGAGCTTCACATTGTGCTAGATGTGCTTAAACTGTTTTATAAAGAGTATGGCATTCTTTTTACAATGCATCTTTCAAGTAAGATTACACATGTAGAAACAAATATTTCTCACTTTCTTTAATACAATGAAAGTAGTTTTCAGGCCAGTTAAAGTACCACTGCTACAAGTGTAGTAATACCCATGGATATCCATTTGTTTGGGTTTGCTTCAGAATCGGGAACAGTGTCATAGTTTTGTCCAGTCCCCAAGTGCAGAGGTAATAGGCGTCAGTGTTTTGTTATGGTGGAGATTGATTCAGGAGATTGGGGGGGGGGGGGTGTGTGTATTTTTTTCTGTCTTTATTTTTAAATTTTCAAAGCACACAGTGTTTCCTCTGACTGGCAGTGCACAAGAGGTTTTGGTTTACTTTTTCCTTTTCTCATGCAAACCCGCCTGACACATTGTGGTTGTAGTTTAATAGCAGACCTGTAACATTCATCTACAGTGCAGAGCGAATACCTCTATGTAGGTCAAAAAGAAAAAAAGATCATTTACTCTTCAATTTCTAGAAGCTTTATTTGACTCTGTTGTGTCTTAAATATGTCTGGTTCTTGCAAATCCACCCTGTATTCACTTAGTATGGAAATTCCAGATAAATCAGTTATTATTAATCTATTTACCTCTTAGGCTTGGCTTTTTATTTGGAAATCATATTGAAGCTCATGCTTCACGTTTAAAACCTTGTCATAATGGACCTTATACTTTTAGAGCACTCAGTAGTGTTGCATTTTTACAGCATAGTGCCATAATTCATACACTGACTTTTTAACAAAAATAATAAATGTAATAATAATCTATGTCTACATCTATGTCTGCACATTTTTTGACATTTAAAAACAAAAACATAATTGGTGGGGTGACAGTTCAGAATGGTGTCAGATGAGAATTTCCCTAAAAGTACAGTACCATCTACAGTGGTTATTAATGAAAACTCTTAGTTCTCAGTCTCTTCTGAACATGTTAAGAATCCAGCTGTGGTCTTGGGACCTGCATCTGTGCATGTTGACCAAGGCGAAGTACATTCCACATAACTCCAGGGATGCATTCCTTGTAATGTTTTGCTTCTCTGCTAGTGTAAGTGGAGGACTACTTCTAGTCCAGAGCCTTTTATTCAGAATTTGGGTAATGCCAGAACTAAGTGCATTTAGGTGAGGACTAAAGTCACTGTTCTTAGAATGTGGCAAAAAGATAATAAGCAACATTTAGCTTTTGTGACTGCATAAATGTAACTGTTTCATTGTGCCAGGGAGTGGAATTTTCTGCAGGTAAAAATGCATTTTCTATTTGTACATGTGCAAATTAATACAATTCTGTTAAATATGTAAATGCCTGGCAAAGTGGGGGATTATGCCATCCACTGGGCATGTCTGAACATGAACAAAATAGCTGATTTAAGTCTTTCTGCTGCTTATACTGAAGCAGATATATGGTATGTTTCTTCAGGATGTCTCTCGCAATCCTGTGCCTCTCCAGTTCAAGAGGCCAAAGTGGAAAAAAGTGGAGGAAGGTAATGACAGTTACCCTATTCCCAACTTTGGAATATCTGTGGGCTTCTCCCTTCAGAAGTATGAGAAGGAAGTAACAGAGCCCAGAGCTAGTCCCAGATACTTGCCTCCTTCTCCAACTACATTCTGTAGCTAACCATCCGTAAGGATGCGTATAATTAGATCTCTTGTTGTCTGACTACCAGCAATTGTCATTCATCACATACTGTCTTCAATAGAACAGCAATTTTAGATTCAGAGAATGTTCAAAAAAAAAAACAAGCCAACCTACTAATCCATACACTAGTCCTCAGCAGGAATCCTGAATGAACCACTCCTGGAAAATCCAAGTTGAAATAATCAACATTGTCTCCATCTCACTTTTACAGATAAAAGTCCTCAGGAGTGATGCTTACTTTTTGAAGAAAAGAAAAAATAGTGAAGAAGAAAGGAAGGAAGGAGTTCACTTGTATGCGCAACCTAGGCTTCCAGAGGTGCACAACAAAGGCAGCAAGGTGTGCAGTCCGAATATGCTAGTGAATGACATTGATGCAGTTGTCTGGAGAGAGGTTAGCCTGAAATGTGGAAAGAGCCAAAGTTGGCATGCATAGGAAGGAAAAGGTAGCTCCACTAAACCATAGAACTGAACAGTACTGAATAGCTGGAGGACTTGCTGTGGTGTGGTTCTGATTTGGTTTTTCCAACCAGTGCAAGCAGTAGTTTGTGGTAGGTACTTATGATTCCCTGTACTTCTGGCTGTTTGATGTACTTTTATATTTTGCCATGTTGTCTACCCAGAGATCGTTACTTAATACAAAATCTGAAAATGATGGCATTGCCCATCATGTGAGAAGGTCAAAGCAGTTTAATAAAAGCATGTATTAGAGGTCTTCCCTTGTCCAGAGTGAGAATTGAGGCACAAAGTTCAAAGACTTGCACCAAATATTTGGTTTTTCACTGGTTGCTGGCACTGAAATCTAGATCTTCCAAATCATGGTCAGACTCTCTTGCTGGTTGTCTGAAAGATTGTTCCACAAGGTCTGCAATGTGTACTCATTAGTTACACAATGCTCTGCTGAAGCAATGTAAAATGGGAAGTGCAGCCACTGGAACTTTGTCCTTTCCCGATAGCTATGCCTCCCTCCCAACAGCAACTCTCAGTTCTGCTAAAACATGCTGTATCAGGTACCTCTTCTGCAGGTATTTTTACACTCTCCAGCTCTTGCTTCGTATGCTAGAGTAGGTGAATTGCCAGCAGTCCTGAGCAGCATGGATGGTAGTATAGAGTTGCCAGTCAACCAATATTCTTGGGATTTTTTCAAACACAGTAATCTTTGATAAGAGTTTGCATTACTTAGGACAAAAATGATGGAACTGCACCTAGCAGGACTCCGAACAAAGGATGGTAATATACACAGAGCAGAGGACAACGTAGCTAGTGTTTTTTCTCTTTTGGGATCTTCCTCCGTCATTCAGTGGGACAGGAGCTAAATCAATTTTTTGGTGATTTTGAAGTCCACCACAATAGCTGCTGCAATTCCACCATAATAAAACATCCTGGTGTATCAACATGGCAGAGCACACCACCACTTCTTAGCCAAGTCAGCTGGGATAGTGTCAGTGCCCCCAATGCATTCCCCTCTCTCCTGGAGGTTTGGCTGCTTTATTAGATAATGTACCTTAGATAATGAAGACATCTGCCCTTGAGGCACTTCTGGCCTCCAGCAGCTTCTGACCTCAGTGCAGCCATTCAACAAAAAGCTGGAGGAAGCCAGGTGCTTCGACCCTGCCATCACCTCTTGGGAGCTGCATTTAAGCTGAGGCTCTTGTGCTTGGTCCCTGAGACATGTTGCAACCACACTTGTGTCTGCCTGTGTACCTTGTTGATCCTTACCTAAGGACTTGGCTTCCTGGCTTGACCTTAGACATGCCTCACCACCACAGCCTTGTCTCGTGACCTGGACTGGTGACCTGCCTTGCTTGTCCTTTATTGGGTGTTGTGGGACAGTCCCCTTGTCAGTAAGTTGCCCCCCTCAGCTCATGGCTCATTTTCTCCTTCAGAGCAGTGCCTGCCCTTGCTGCTCCCCAACACACAGCCCCATAGCACAGCTCAGGTTACATGTCTGCATTGCTTCTGATTCCAGTGATGGGCTGGTCAGAGCTTGTTTAGGTGTTGCTACATGACACTGCTTCATTGAGCAAGCAAGCCAGTTCTTTTTAGAGCTTGTTATAGGGACCTCCAGTGCAATGGTCATGCTGTGTGAAAGGGCCCTTACTAGTATCCCACCTATTTCAAAATACTGTGATCACGTTCTTTTCCACTTCAAACAGTGCACGATATTTGCATGCTATGTTCATGACACAAAGAGTGCCTAAAGGGAAAAGACTACATTTTGACTCCGGCTGGATGAATGCCATGATTGCTTGAAGCACCTTAGATCATTGCACAGTATTTATACAGTGTCACACCCTGTGATGTGAAGTAATTTTTCTTCAACAGATCTTTACTAGAACAGGTCTGTGGGAGGGAGAAGAACACCAGCACCCAGGCTAACCATTGGGATGCAACCTAAGCATTACTTTTGGAAGGTACATGTGTGGCTTACACCCACTAAGTTTTACATAACCTAAATTAGGGTACTCAGTTGCTTATGCAGCTGCCAGAAAGTGTTCCTTTCATCTAAACAAACCTGAGGCTGCAAGAATTCAATGCCTCAAAGTAAGCAAATCAGGAAGTACTTAATTATGTAGAAGACTCTAGTTACTCTTTTGCATAAATGGATTTTTTTTCTTCTGTCTAATTGCATCATATGTTTTCATGGTGTTAGAAAAGCTTTGGGGCTATAGATGCTAAAAGATGATGAAGGTGCTCTTGCAGAGAGAACAGAGATGATTAAAATAGGGACTCTGGGGAAGCTTGTACTAGCTCCATGTTGTTGACTGTTCTCATGCAACATTTCAGAACCCCAGAGAGATTTTAGGAGATTTTACTGACATTTCTAAAGTGTTATATTTTGCAAGTAGAAATTCCTGCTACAGAAAGAGATGGAATCTGCTTTTGATAGGAGTAAAATGACCAACAAAGATGTTCTGGCAGTGGTCATACTGGTCCTAGGTTCAACTGCACGCCTGTTTCCTTCTGTCGCTGTCTGGCACTCTTCTGTAATACTTTTTGGTTGGTTTTTTTTTTATCATTCACACTAGATTTCATGTTTACAGAGGAGATGTTAATAAGTTCATTTTTCAGCTAAGAGCAGAACGTGATAATTACTTTTTGTATCTGACCTTTGTTATTAATGAGATGGTGAGTTTCCATTTTGCATTAGTTATTTGCAAGTCAGTCAATCAAAATAGTCCTCAGGAAGAAGTCTTCTTGCTACAACTTGATTTATCCTACTTCTCTTGAACGTGTTTTGGGGTTCTTTTTTTGACTGTTAAGTAGTATTTAAGAAGTTTCCAAGTTCTGTTTTCTCAGGATTTTTTTTTTTCCATAAGCTGTTACAGGATGAACAAACACAGCAGTCCTATGGAGAGTCTTTTTCAATGTTTCCAACATCTGGTGCTTAGGATGTTGTTGGCTTGCAGTGTCAAAGATTTGGAATTGACAAGGCAAGAACTGACTCAGAGTATGTTTCTTGCATGTATTAGTTAAGATGAGCTGAGTAGCTTGAAGAGTCAGCCACTGATTGGGTCTTTGAGTTCATGAAGCCATAGATGCTTAATGGGATTAGTGGTACATGCATGTCTCTCCAGCTTGTTATTTGGAGTTTCATATCACAATATGTGCATATCACAAAAAATCTGATTCCAAATCAACGTAAACATAACCTGAAATGCAATTGCCATTTAGTGTTTAATATCCTGCTGCACCAATTGTGTCTCATATTTTTTGGTAAGGAATCTCAAATAGTGGTGTGAGTGGTTAGAGACTGAGGTAACAGGCAGACACTGAAGAGCAGCGAAACTTGCAATTGGCAAAATAGCAATATAATTTACAGCATGTAAGCAAGGAATAATTATAGAGCCTTTGAAGTGCATTCTATACAGTAAACTTGTAAAGAAAGTTGTTAATAAACATTATATTCATTTTGAAAGAAGGAAAAAGAACCTTATTAAAATTGGACAGAGGTG